GTTCTGCAACTTGGTGGCACAGAACAACCATGTTGGAGACGGAAGAACTGCGTTACAATCATTGGAGGTCATTCTGGACACTATCCAAGCTTTCTGTTCCTGGCCAAGTGTTGCGGTGGCTTCAGGCACGGTGACACAACAGCTTGTTGTTGCTTTGGTCTCAAGGCCGTCCAGGTCTCCTCGCAGAGTCTGCGGCCAGAGCCACAGCAGTGAGAACAAAGCGCCACAGCGACGCGACTTACACTCGTGACGAAGGTAACGTTGGGCAGCATCATCACTGCAACCCGCTCTCAGTTTCGGTCTTGGTGGGTTTGCCCGAAGATTCTATCAGGAGCGGTGAAGTCAGGGCGCACATGCAAGGCTGGAGACCATGCCCGATGAATTGGTAAGGCACTGTCCCAGCCAAGCTTGGCACACATGGCACAGCATGCAGCACAGCATGCGACATGGTGCAGGCCTTCCCTTGAAACCTTGGAGCGCATCAAGAAGGCAGTCGGCAGTCGTAAGGGTACGAGATGCATGAACACTCTGGTAGATTGGTAGATTCCTGGCAGGAGATTATCGATACTTCGAAGGACATACTTCTGCATGCAGAGCACATACAGAGCCAGTATTGAGCCACAGATGAATAGGTGTCTTCTGCCACATTCAGGCAGTAGCAGCGTGCCACCTCTTCAAAGACCGGGCGGGGACACGACTTTGCAGGAGGCAAGTGAAAAGGTGCAATTCGGCGCCGATGTGACGGTGGTTTGTCCCTTGGGTTTCGTGCAGCTTGCGTATTGCATCAGCGGTATCCCATCTTCACTGAGGAAGATGCGCAAGAAGTCCGAGATCGAGCTTGGGCCTTGTAGACCCTGGTGCCATACCAAAGAACATTATCAGTGTTCGTCTCAGGAGGATGAAGTGGTTGACCTCATTTCCAAGTGTGGAGCACAGTCGGTGTTTGGTGATGCCCCGGGCTGGAAGAGAGCAGCCCTGCTGGAGGCTTAAAGCAAGGGTGGACGGCGGAGGAAGTGGACCTGCACAGCTTCGTGCCATCCAAAAGTTCCCTCCTGAGCAGTCTCTGGTGCAGTTGCTGTCAGCCCATAAAGGGATATTCTGAAAGTGAGCTGCAGGACTGGAAGCGAGTTGGCGGAGCAGGTTCAAGAGCTGGGGGTCCGGATCAAGAACATCACGGTCCCGACCTTCGCAAATCACAAGGATGGCTCAGTGCATATCTCAGTTAAGCTGAGCTGAGACTACAACAACTTTGGCTCTACCGCAGAGACGAATGGGTTCCGTTCTCGGCCGTTCTTATACCCAAAGTCTCCTACACCTTCGAAGAGGGTTGCCTCTGCAACAACAGCCTGGACGGTCAGGTGTCGAGAGCATCATCCACGCAGCTGGAGTTTTGCAGGATGGACTCATCGTCCCAAATCTGCAGAAGGCGAGGCGGCAGCATTTTGCACGTCAAGCCTCTCGCAAAGTGCTCGCAGTGCCACGCGGGACCCGAGGCTCCGGAGATGTGGAGCATCGTGTACGGTGTCAAGGCTTGGTCAACACCGGCCGACAGATTGCACGAGTGTGCCATTTGGGTAGTGACCAGGCTCATGGCGCCTGGCAGCTGCATCAGACGACAACTGCACTCTGAGGGCTTGGATGCGTGCTGCACGAAAGCATTGTTACATAGTCATCATACTTCCGGTAGCAGAGCTTCTCTTCTTCTTGGAACACCAGCAGCACAAAGGAACAGGCAGCATACACACAATGCCGTACCATGGAGTATGGAAGCATGCATGCCGTGCATCAGGAGCTTTACGGCGGCTCAATCTTCGTCATGCGTGAGCAGAAAAGCTGTGCCTGCACCAAAATAGTCGAGGATTGTTGAATCCAGCGGACTCGTCAGCGACGCGTTTTAAGCGTGGCTGAAGGCCGATGAGCGCACAACGCAAACGGCAACTGCTGGCTGCCGGGAGCTTGCGATTCGCAATGTGCAACCTCGAGCCTCGAGCCACTCGAGCCACCAAGTCGTCCAGTTGTCTCCGAGGCATCGGATTGGGCGCATGCACTATCAGTGGCATGGCAGCAGAGGGGGAACAGTTTCAACATGTTTCAACATCTCTTTTGGGACTGATTAACGCAACGAGGTTGATGATGCAGCGGGCCAAGCCGTTTCGCGAGCGGTGGTCGTGACTCAGCTGATGGGATCGCAAGCATCATTGAGCACCGCCAGGTTAGTACAACTTTAACACGAATTCGCGAACGAGAGTTTGGCTTGTTTAGTCTTGTGCCGGACGTGAGTTCTGCTGCGTGGTGTTAGTGTATCCCCAACGTCAGCCAATTGGCCTGGCCTTTGTAGTTCAATATGCTACTTTTGACACCGCAGCAGCGAATGGCGCCGGAATCATGTTTAAAGTGCTCCTCACCCAGATGAATGCATGGCAACTGCTGGTGTTTGCATGCATGTTGTAAATACTTCAAGCGTTGCAGCGCGGTCTTCGCTGCAACTAGTAGGACTCAGCCGACTGAGCATCAAAGCTGTCAGGTGCCGTAGGTCAGAAGTATAAGTTTTTCAGTCAGGTGGTCTATATCAAACAAAGAGAAACCACCCCAGATCTAAGCATTTGGTGCTGGTCGAAGCGCTTCCCGGGCGAGGGAGTCTGCTTGACTCCCGGCCCGTGGGTTCCGCACCGTTTGAGTGTGCCAAGATCCGCCGTATTTGGATCCCAGAAACTTCGCAAATCGTTTAATCGCTTCACCATGCCTGGAAGACTTGCCCCTTCCAGACTTTGGGAATTGCCGTTCTACGGCGCAGTGCAGCTTGCCATGTGAAATATGCGATATGATGAGCAGACCTCCTAAGTCTCAGATTGTTGTTACTTGCTTGCAGATCTCGCTGAGCGGCTGCTGTACGCGAACGTTTCACCTTTAGTGTAACTCTCGTCACGGTGGTTCCCTGTCGATTCAAAAAGTCCGTGATGACGGTGTTTGGACATACCCTTCTGTCGACGACATAGTCAGCATTGGATGTATTCTAGCCATCAAGTGATTCAAGCGACATCGTGCGCCTTGGCTCTGACTTAGTGAAGGCTGTTGTGCTGGAAATGAAGGTAAGCAAAGGTTCCGTGATTCCTAGGTCTTTAGGGCCGGGTTGTAAACCACCATGCAAGCTCCCGCTTAACGCTTTCGAGTCGAAATTCAGGCCTTTGAAAGAAGGTAGGTATCAGATCCTGCAAGATGTCTTCGAGCACGCACGGAGAGTGCATCTGCCTCCACATTGGCCAGGCTGGTTGTCAGATTGGTCAAGACACCTGGACACTTTTCTGCAAAGAACACTGCGTGGGGGAGGATGGCAAGCGGGATTTGGAATCTCTCAAAGCTAGCTATACCGATGTAGACGACACCAACTACAACACCTTCTTTGCAGAGACGCATGCCGGCCAGCATGTGCCTCGGGCCGTGTTCATTGACACCTGTCCAAGCACGAAAAACGAGATACTGGCCGAAAGTCCTGATCTTTTTCACCCCGAGAATGTGCTGGGGTACAATCAGGATTGCAAGAGCAACTTCTTTGAGGGCCGGTTCATGGCAAACCACATGAAGGTGAAGGAAGACGTTATTGACAGGGTGCGCCTACAGGTGGACTTGTGCTCGAACTTGCAGGGCTTCTTCGTGTTCCATGCGTTTGGTGGAGGCACTGGGTCAGGAGTTGGCTGCGAAATTTTACACGACTTGCATGATGCTTTCGACAAGAAGGTCATCTTCCAGCCGACGATATACCCTTCCCGCCGGTTTTCTAGCAGCATGGTGGAACCTTACAATTGCATCTTTGCAACATATTACATGAAGGATGTGGTTGATGTTACTATGATGATGGACAACGAGGCGGTCTATAGAATGGTTGAGACAAAACAGCAGGTCAAGAATCCAGACTTCCATCATGTCAACCACTTGATCGCGCAAACGATCTCGGCATGCACCACCTCGCTTCGTTTCGAAGCGCAGTTAAGTGCAAAAATGGTGGAGATAGTTACCAATCTTGTCCCTGCAAGGAATTTCCGATATCCAGTGTTGTCGCTGGCACCCATTCGCAGCAAGTTTCAGGAGCGCCACGAGACATTTTCACCACAAGAGATCGCCGTGGAGCTGTTCGAGACCTCAAGTGTCCTGTGTGATGTAACTCACTTAAAGAGCAATCGCTACCTGTCTGCGGTCATTCTTCTCAGAGGAGTGGAGAGCCTGCGGCCAGACAAGAGCGAAAGCGAGGCATCCGGCTACCCGTCCACAGCGAGGACGGAGCCTTTGGAAGCTAACAAGTGCATAACGGCAGTCCAGACGATGAAAGATGGAACCCATCGATCTCCCGTCAAGTTTGCACCCTGGGTGTCAGCGGGCTTCAAAGTAGGCCTCGTCGGGGTGCCCCCAGCCAGAGATCCACATGATGAGGTGATGGCTGAAATTAGCCGTTTGGGTGCCATGCTCGCCAACAGCACAGTTGTTCGGCAGGTCTTCGTTCGTCAGTACACCAAGTTTCTTCAGCTTTTTTATCATAGAGCCTATGTCTGGCAGTTTATTGATGCAAATGGAGAAATCGATGCGTTCTACGAAGCGCGTGAGGGCGTGAAAGACATCATTTGCAACTATGAGGAGCTGCTGCGCGACTGTGCGAAAACGGAGAACGAGAGGATGGAGGGCGGTGGGGGCATCTTTGTGGAGGGTGGGACCAACCTTGTTCCAGCTGGTCAGTAAACGCCTGCCAGGTCTTCCTGCTCCAGTCAACAACAGGGCAGGGCAGAGTGTACCTTACGAGTTTCACCGCTTTTCACAAGTTTTATGGCAGTCGATCCAAAACCGGAGTTGTGACCTCCAGCCTTGCGTCAGTCGTTGCTGAAGTGTATGCTGCATGTGGTACGGCTTTCCGAGGGCTTGGCTTTACGTTTGTGTGCTTCATCGGTTCAGCTCAGATGAGGCAGTTAATCTCCACAGAGTGAGGGTGACGCGCAGCGGACGCGTCTCCAGCGATGGCCTCCAGGGAGGATGCCCAAGAGCTCGATCGCAAAGAGGCCACCTTGTGCAGAAGAAGCACCGAGCTTGAATGTAACCTTCGTGGCGGTTGAAGACCATGGACATCCTGTACGAGATATCTACGCTCCTCAATACCGGCTTGAACAAGGAGCGCTTGTTTCCATCTCCGGACTCTTGCCCTTCTTGCTGTTGCCAGGAGTCTTTGGAGGCTCTGGTCGGCCTGTGTGAGCTCGGCGTCAATCCGGAGGCTTAGCGACCCCGCCTCCCGGCAAAAGCTAGTTCTCGTTGTTGCAGGCCTTGGCCGCCGCGGTCAAGGATCTCCGCGCAGAGGCAGCCCGGCTGCGCAGTGACGCCAGCGAGGCTGAACTGAGGAAGGAGCCCTGACTCTGACGCTCAATTGAAGAACCTTCGATTGAGCCGCATGCAAAGACAAGGAGTGTCATTCTGCATGGATGGCGCGGATACATCGGAACGCCGCCGGGTCGTACAGTTGCTTGCGCATCGAAAAGTGCTGATGTCCTGCAGTTTCGATCTGTCGTTGTAACAGACTTTCCGTCATCTGCTGCTCTTAATCGCGAACCGGTCCTTGCAACGATCGCCAGGTGTCACACCGTGTCACACCATGTCACACCTTGCATTTTGCGAGGGTTCTTTGTTGTGTAGGCTTGCCACGCTTTCTTCTCATCCGTCAACTGTGAGGACACTGATCGAACGGAATAACCCCCTGGATAGCCTGGTAACCACCATCCTTTGCACAAGCCTCTCCTCCCCACGCTAAGTGAATCTAGGCGAAAATGTGGCATTAATTGCAGTTGGGGTTGAGCAATATTTAGCAAGTTGAAACAGAATGTGGTTTGGGTTTCGTGATTGTGACTTCCGTCGGTTTCGGTGTTTTCCAAGTGTTCACCGATTCATCTTTTTTTTTTTTTTCCAGATTTTCAATTCTGTCACATTTTCGACATTTTTCCAAATTTAGGCCGCTTGCCGTTGCAAATACGGTCCCATTCTGGAGAGCTCTAGGAAAATGCAAGACAAGTGATAAACATCAGCACATTTTCTTGTGATTTCTGTGTTTCTCTACATTTGCCAACAAAATATAAAAGCACATAATTTCAAATTATTCTTCTTTCTGTTGCAAATCATTTTCAATTCTTTTCGCATTTTCTCTGGAGACGGGCTGGGGCCCTTCCGGTGCTCCTTCGCTGTTGGCCGAAATCAGGAGTTCTGGAGAGCTCGAGGAAAAACGCGGAATAATACTGAAGAACACTATGGTTTTTCTTGGACTGGGTGTCTTTTCGTGGTTCTGCACACTAATTTCATATTAAGCTTTGTTTTCCGAAACTTGGCTTACGCAAGGACGCGGGGGTTTAAGCCTCGGCGTGTCAATGTTGCCGGCGATGTACAGCTCCGGTTGCTATCGGTTTGTCCCAGAGCACAGTTTCATAAGTGCTCGAAGGCAAGACTTTTACTGAGCCTGTGCTGCACAGAGCATTGTCTTGGTACATGCCTTCTTCCCCCACCAAGAATGACACTTCATAGTTCCCTGAGAATGCGACGCCATGTGGAGAAGGCGCCCATGGCTTCTGCTCGCTCTACTGGCTCTCCCAGGCGGGTCTGGCTCGTCAGATGTAGGAACAAGCTGTCTCTTGTCAGCGAGGTTTGTGCTTCTGGCGGGCTGGGTGGTCCCAGGCACCTCGTTAGCTTCGAGGTATCCTCGTCCTTGCACATGTCCGCAGGCATTTGTGAATGTGCCACTGCGTAAGCATCGGCAAAGAGAGCGGGGCCAAGCTTTTTTCAGGAAGTCTGCGCAAAAGGAGGGCAGGGTCCCGACAAGACGAGGTTGGTTTCCGGGCCACCTCCGATGTGGCTGAGGAGAACGCTGCTGACATATCAATGGCTCTTGGCCTAGCGTTCCTTGTGCCAAGCGCCTTGCAAGGACCTCATCGCTCAAGTGGGCGATGAACTGGAAGGTTGCACGCCTTTGAAGAAGGAGCACGCGCCTTGCAACTCACAGACTGTTATTACTGTGGCCAGACAGGGGGAATGCAAAGCTGCAACCAGTCTCTCGTCGGATTGCGTCTGCCGTGACTGCTCAGACTCAGTTGGGGATCTAGAACAAACGGCAGGTTGAGCTCAGATGGCGGAGGCAGATGCAGCGGTCTGGTCTGAGGTTGCTCAGAAGCAGGACCAGGAGGATCAAAAGCTCAAGCAGAACGATGTGCTGCTGGATGTCATCGAAGCTGACTTGAACGCAATGGAAGCCCAAATGGAGAAGGCAGAGGTTCGATACCAGCAAGCCCGCCAACGGTTGACCAGGAAGCTCGAGGAAGGAAAAGACAAGCCGGCCGAAGGCAAGCACAGTCCTCACATTCAGCCGTCAGAGGATCATCCCATCGATGAGGCAGAGGCTCTGCCGCCAGAGGATCACAAGCACCAGCATCACAAGCACCTCCAGAGGGAGCCCAAGAATGCGGGTGCTCTGCCAGATAAGGTGGTCTCAAGACAGCGCTGGGTGGCTGCACGCAACACCGAAAAGCGAGCCCGGGAGTCTGCCAAGCGTGCTCGCGAGCTGATGCGCAACCGGCAGCGGGATCGCAAGATGGAGGCAGGCTATGTGTCACAGGAAGTGGAAGCCACGGCTCCGAAGGAGTCTGCGCCTGCGCCGCGACCTCCGGCAGCAAGCGCCAGCCCAGAAGCAGTCTTGCACGGAGCTCAGAATCTTGCAGCACGGCTGAAATCCGTGCACGACCGTGAGACATCGGCCGTCGATAAACGCCAGGCACTGCTCAAGGTCGTGACCTGTGGCCGCGAGAATTATTATACTTTCAAGCCTGAAGATGTTGTCTCTGACCTGAAGCAGCGTGGCTTGATCGATGAGAAGTTGGCAACAGAATTCGCTGGCCTCATCAAGGATGAGACCTTGAAGCCGACGGTGCACCAGATTCCCTTCGAAGAGTGGCTGGATCGCGCAAAGAAGGTTAGCCACATGGAACGGCTGGACGATGCTTGGATCTGCATGGAGTCTTCGTTTGGTCTGGTGTGATGTATTGTCTTTGAGTTCCAAGGATGTTCCCTTCAAGGCTGACGAGGCCGCCTACTTAGGGCACCTGGATGGAAGGCAGCTGGCTGTAGCGGAAGCAGAGTTGGAAGCAGCCGAAGCCCAGCTGGAAATCGCCATGAAAGCAGCGGCGGATGCGTCAACCCGTTATGAGCAGGCTCCCTGTTTTCAAGATGCAGACGGGGGCACTCGAGCCATGCCATGTTCTGAATGTAGTGCAGTCCAAGCCTCCAAGCTTGAATCAGTTTTCTGTGATGAGCAGGCGGTGGCTGCGAGCGGCATTGACCATGCGACGCTGGAAGACACGGAGCAGGCAGACTTTGATCTCAGTGTGAACGAGGCTGAGCGCTTCGATGCCGAGCACAGCCACGACAAATTCGAATCTCACGGGAGCAAGAATGCGGGTGCCCTTCCAGACAAGGTTGTCTCTAGAGACCGTTGGCTGGCAGCTCGCAGCACCGAAGAGCGTGCACGTGAAGCGCAGAAGAAGGCCCGCGATGTGGGTCGCAGCCATGCGCGTGATGCCAAGGTTGAAGCTGCTGAAGTATCAGTTCCGGCAGCATGATCTAGAACCTGCCTCGTCCCACACATGATGGGAGGGGTGGCCTTTCAATTTCAAGAAGAGGTGCGGCAGATCAAAGGTCTTCGATCTGGCAGTGCCTATCTTTCGTGTCCCAACTCTGAACAGTGTACAGTTAGCCACCTGGGGCGAAGGCGTTTAAAGGCTTAGCCCGGGGTGACATATTGGTTCGTCGCCACGTAATCTCTGAACCAGAGACCGGCTGCGGAGAACAGACCTTCCGGACGAAAATGCCCGAGCATGCTGGCCGCCATGGCCGCTCCCGCAAATCGCAGGCGTCTGTTGAGGGCTGAGCAACTGAGGTTGGAAGTGGTACTGAATGCGGGCCGCAACTTCTTGAGAGATTCAGAAGATGGACAAGGCCAAAACATTGCCAGGCTTTGCCACAAAATGGTTCTGCCCCCTCTGGCTTGGCAGTTCAGATGTCCAATGCATCTGAATTTCAGCATAATGTCACTCTGCGTAAGCTACATGTTGAGCCACGAGTCCGGCAAAGTATTCAAACCACGGGGCATCACAGATGCTCTTGCCGCCCAATCGCTGCCCTCGCAGCTTAACATCAAGTTGTGCGGTAATGTGCAGGTAGAAGTGTCAGGTGCCTGGCTGGGCTCGTGAGTCGGAAGAGTTTCGGTACCCGCCAGTGCATCCAAGATGAGGTTTAACAACTTTGCAGCCTCGTCCGAGACTGAAAAGCACAGGACGGGGCACAGCGAAACACAGGGGCAAGCAACCAACAGGGCTTACACTGTGGCACTGATGCCACATGTTAAGGATCGACAGTTTCCAGCGGTGCATGCTGCAATGCTGGCAGGGATCGACAAGTTCAAGGATCTGCTGGAATGGCTACAGGCCCAGCGTGCCCGAAGGCCTTTCGCCGAAGAAGTCCGTTTCGCCGTCGCACTAAAGCCGAGATTTGTGCGAGGTCCGCTTCCGCTCCCTTTCCCCAGTCCCTGGGGCCGCTCTCCGTGGCGGCGCTCCGCAAGGGCGACAAAGAGGCCCGGGGGGCCGTCTGACGCCTGGGCACTCCATGGCACTCCCTCACTCCCCGCAGTGTCTGCACAGATTGTCCTGGTGGGCACTCCGCACAGCGTGCCTGGGGTGGTGGCCTGGCTCGGATATTCCACTTTGTGCCCCTCGGGAGAATTATGCTTCCAAGTTTCCCAAGGCTGCGGCGGAGAATCCAGTTCCGAGGGCAGTCCGGCGTCTGGTCAAAGCGTTGAAGCCAGACCTCGTGGCCGTTGAGTTGGATGAGGTCTGCTGCAGGTGCGACAGGAGTTTGCTTCGTCTGCAGCCACCAGGATCGTGGTGGTCGAGAGCTGGAAAACCTTCCTGCGAAGCTGCGAGGCCTCAGCAGTCGTGTAAGCTGACTGCCATGTGTCAGTCGCTGGCAGTCCATCGTTCTGGCCAGAATGTGATGTAGAGTGGAAATTTTAGCCTTGGTGGATGGCAATTGGCAATATAGCATGCACAACACCTGCTTACTGCACTGTGATGAGTCTTGCCCGAGCGGCTTCGGGTGATGAAGCAACCTCGTTTAGCTAAGGTCGCTCCACGGTGCTACTGCCACCGACGCCCTCGGGATCGCCCGGGCTCCTCGAGGCGAAGAAAGGGTGCAGGGAGAGACAAAGAGACTGTTGTAAAAGTGCCGGAGAGGTGGCCTCAGTGTGAGGCCTTTGGCCTCTTTGGTGGACCACAGCCAGAGCACCCGGTGCATGCAAGGACACATTGATGGTCACCATTGAAAGCGGCCAGCCATGATTTTGTGCGTTTGTTTGTTCAGCGGCTTAGAAGCTCAGAGTGAGGCTTCGATTGGACGACGCGCTGATGGAGCAGATTCGCGCCGCCACCTGATTCCCTGGACGCATCTTCCGGACGCCTCGCAACTTGTTGGCTCTGCAAGGCGAGGTTGGGCAATTCTCAGATGTCCGTCGCGAGCCAAGCCGCTTCGCGAGCGCAGAAGTTTAAATCTCGTTTGGACAGACTCCGGAAAAGCTGGGACCCCAGGTCAAGGACTATATGCGGGCCATGAAGACGATCTTTGACAAGAGCAGTGAGAAGTGTCTGGCGACTTAGCTGCAAACCGATATGATAAGCCGCTATCGACAGAGGCTCACCGCAGAGGCTTAACTTTGCATTCTTTCCGCGCTTGTAGCTTGTTGTTTGCGCCTGAGGCCATGAATGTCACAGCCCAAGTTTCTGTGTGAAGTGATGCAAAGAGATTGTCAACAAGTTCGCCAGGTCTTTGCATTGGACGAGCTTCGAGCAGAGGCGACAGATAGTCTTGTGTGGAGGGTTGGAGGAAGATCGTTTGAGCAGGCCTATGGTGACTGGGGTGTGCTACCTGGCATGGCTTTCCAGTCTGTGCCATCGGGCTTCGTGGCTGTCGGGTGCAGAACGAGCATGCTGAACTTCGGCTCAGGCAGAGACGCAGGAGCAGCAGTCCAAGCAGCCTTCAAGGCCTGGTGATTTTCTCGTTTTGTGCACAGTATGGTAGGGTTGGCCGCGCTCGTCCAGGCTGCAGCCCCGGTTCTGCTCTGTGACCTACCGCAGGAATGGACGTCTGCATCTCGGTGGTGTTGCTTTGTTCTACTTCGTGGGCTGAGTGGGCTCAGCATTGCCTTAAAATCATGTCAGTCCGAAGCTGCAACGCGCAGGCGATGGCTTGCCGCCTCAAAGTAGTGTACAGGAATTGGGTACTGTGCCTCCCGATCCCTCCTGCAGCACAGTATTTGCAGCAAAGCGTACCTTGAGCGGTCTGTAGACGGCCTCACCACCGTTTCCCAAAAGGTGAGATCTGCTTCGTGGTGCTGCTTGCAAGCATGGTGCGCGCTCACTGTTTGCTTTCATGGAAGGCCGATGCTTGATTCCACAAAACGAGCACCAGCGTGTGCACGCATGCCACGAACCCTCCCGGCTGGGTGATAAAGTGGACCATGTGCTGTGGTGCTGCGCGATATTACGTGTTGCAGATCAGGTTCAGCAAAATCATACCCGTCTACAACGACGCCTGGGCCACGGCCTTAATTATTACGCCTTAATTCAAAACGGGGTCCGCAAGTTGGCAGAAAATCGGATGAAATAAGCCTGTGCCAATGACCGAGCTTGCCTTTGTGGTTTTGCTACCATACTAAGCAAGTGTGAGGTGCAGAAATACGCATTGTGTGGCTAGACGGTCATGTCAATGTCTCCGACAAGGTCCGTGCCAAGGAGAAGCGGTTGGATTTCCTCAGTGATCTTTCTGAAGCCATGCGCTTCCAGGAGGCACAGGTCCTGATATGTGGGGAGGGGGGTCAACAAAAAATTTAAAAAGGATCAAAACAAATTAGGAAGGATCAACAAACAATTTAGAAAGAATCAAAAACAAGTTTAAGGTTTACGAGGTAATGTGCCTATTTCCTCGCTTGGCAGCCTTCGGCTTCTGGGCTCCTGGCTTCTGTGCTGCCTGGCTCCGCGGCTTTTTTGGCTTCTGGGCTCCGTTGGCTTTCTGGCTTCTTGGCTTCTTGGGTTCCTCCTGGCTTCTTGGCTTCCGGGCGGCTTGGCTTCTTGGCTTCTAGGCTTCCTTGCCGGCTTCTTAGCTTCTTGGCTTCTCGGGTTCTTGGCTTCTTGGCTTTGAGCAGCTTGGCTTCTCGAGTTCTTGGCTTCTGGGCTTCTTCGCTTCTGGGCTTCCAGAAAACATGCGTGCGATGACTGGGCCTTGTCGGCTTCCTCGCTTTTTGGCCTCGCTCGACACTGATCAGCGAAGCCTCGCTGCGCGCCGTTGGGCAAGATGACGCTGTCCGTTTGTTTTCGTGGCATGTCTACCGTGGCAGCCGTGGCACAAGACTTGGACCAGGATGGAGATTGTCTAGCTGACGGATCAAAGAAAGGATCGACAAGAAAATGAAAAGGCATTAAAAAATAAAATAAAAAGGGATCAACTAAACAAAAATTAAAAACGATCAAAAAGACAAATGCATCTTTATTCAAGGGGTACAGTTGGTACATATATATATATATATATAAAGTGTACATGTATATATATATATATATTCGACGCGGAGCTGGCGAGTTCCGACTAACCTGCGCACGCAGCCATGGCCGGCAACTGTTAACGTCGAAGCCCTCCACGCTGTGCCAGGCTTTTGTGGCCTTTTGTCGCCTTGACACCATATATAGCGTCGCAAAATTCCGACGTTGAACTATTGGAATCTCATCCTGGCAAATAGAGCTGCTTGACCCACGCAGCCATGGCCAGCAACTCTGGTATACTCTGGTTACACCAACCGTTCGAACCCTCTACGCGGTCCCAGACTTTTCCGGGATTGACACCGTAGTTTCGCACAGTTTCGACGCGGAGATATTGGAATAGCACTTGCCGTTGTTTGCAGCAAATTTCCAATCCCTAAGTTTTTTTTGATCCTTCCTAATTTTTTTTGATCCGTTCAGCCTAAATTTGTTTTTGATCCCTTTTAAATTTTTTTTGATCCTCCACCCCGAAATGTGCTGGGAAGAGTGACATCGTCGTTCTGCTTGAGAGAACGTGGCAATTGTGAGGCAGAGGAGGCCATCATCCGAGAAGCGGTGCTCGCTGGTCACGGAGGAAAGATTGGAAGAACTTAGTACTCTAACATAGCGAGTGTGTGCAGACAGGCGACTTGTCCTCCTTGGATTATGGTCTTGGTCTTTGTCGTCAGCTACTTACTGCCACGGAGATTTCGCACACTCGAGGGACGGTCTGGCTTTGCATCTTCGTGTCAACACTTGTTCGGTGGACACGTGATATCCAAACTTTCGCAGGGTTTGTGCGATCAGAGTCACATCGTTGAGTTCTTCTGCGTCTGAATTCGGTGGATCGGCCCACCGAGGCCCTGCGACGGGCTTGGCCGAAGCCGACACACGACGTCATCTCCTTGGCGAACGAAGCTACGCAGTCTGTTGGTCTCGGAGGGGTTTGAGCTCAAGGTCTCTTCTTGGAGGAGCGCGACTCTGCAATGGCGCGAGCCGTTTGCGAGGTGACATCATGTGACATCGACTGAGGAGAATTGCGGAGTCGTTTTGAGTGTTTTTCGGGCCTGGCCCCGGCAGGCCTTGGATGGCAGAGCGCAGCGCGTCCTCGGTGAGCCGAGGGAAGAGATCCTGAAGGGCCAAGCGAATGCAGCGCTTCGGGCAGTGCTTCAGGCATCTGCTGTCTTCGGGCTGCAGGGGTGGTCCACGTAGTGAGACCTCAGGGAGGTCCAAGGCAACGCGGGTCTTCTTGACGTGTGGCACGCCGGGCAAGTTCCGTGATCGGACGTCGGGTGATTCAAGTCGGAATCGAACGCACAACCGCAGTGTTTCAGCGGGAAACGTATAGGCGGCAGGCAGGAGTTGGAGGTGTTGGCCGCGCTGCAGGTGGGCTGCTGCCACGTCGAAGGGATCGTTGCTGAGATGGAGAAGCAGGGCTATGAGGTGCCGTCTGAGCCATCACGAAAGGCCCGACTGGAGATGCTTCGATCAGGTTGCTGATTCACCTTCTGCGGGCTGGCCAAGTGCTAAAGCCAAGAAGCCCAAGGTGCAGTGGGAGACCAGACCGAACTGATGCAGTGATGTGATGGTAGGCAAGTGATGGTCAGGTGGGGACTTCAACGAAGAAAGTTGTCACGAAAAGGCCGGCAACTTCGTCAGCTCAACCCTTCTCTCAGAAAGGCCTGAACATGCAAATAGCACTGGTGTTTTGCAGGACGAAGCAGCGGGGACCTCGAGGATTCTCGTAGAAGAGCTCGCCTCAATGGTAAGCAGAGATGCGCGGTGTCCTTGACGGAAGACCATGCTGCTGCAAGGATGTACCAACTAACACTTGACGCTGGACGAGATCTGCCGCCTCGCCTGGCATAGATCGAGCTTTGAGCCAGAGTGCTCTGGCTCTCAAGACTCGCCGCAAAGGCCGGTGCAAAGTACTAGTGCCAGACGCCAGGTTTGCAGCCTGCTCGCCCTCTGAAACTTTCTGCGGGTTGACATCCGGCTACGTCCCGTTCACAACTGCATCTTTGAGAACATGAGTCTCGCAGCCGGTATGAAGTTTCATTTTCCATTTGTCAGGCGTGCACAGCATGCTATGTGCAGCTGTTTCTGTATATAGTAATAGCCAAACACGCAAGAAAAGTGCACACACACACAGCATGCACGCGCACACGCCCGCATACGTACATACACATACACATACGCATACACATACACACACACACACACACATGTACACGTACACGTACACGTACACATACGCATACACGTACCCGTACACGTACACGCACATACATACGCATAGATACACATACAAACACATACATACAAACACATACTCATATACGTACACATCCATACACATACATACACATGCATAGACATACATACACATACGTACAATGCATACAGACATACCTACTTACATACATTGGCATAGATACACACATCATGCGTGTTTGCATACATGATATACGTACAAATGCGCGCACCTACGTAGATAAACTGTACATACATACATACATGGTCATACATGCATACGTACTTTCATACATACCTATATACTACACACTTTTTCCCTGCTTACCTGCCTGCCTGCCTGCCTGCCTACCAACCACCCATCCACCCACCGACCTACCTACCTACCTTGCCTACATACATCCACCTACCTACTTTACTTACATACATACATGCAGACTTACGCACACTATTCTATCTACATACATACATACATACATACATATGCGCACATGTGCATGTGCACACACAGTCTGTGTTTATATATGTATGAATTTATGGATGAATCATGAGAGCAGGAGTACACAAAGACAATGTATGGTACGCCCCGTCATAGACCCGCCCCTGAACTTCGCCAAGGCGGTTCGTGGCAGTTTCAGTACATGCAGTTCCACAATTTTACGCAGACTTGCGGTGTAGCGCACGTGTGCGAGTAGGAACAAGCGTCAGCGACCGAACCGCAGCTAGCCGGTTCGATCGCCTGATTTGAGTTCCCCTCGTCCTTTCGCCTCGCCTTGTTCTGGTCATGTCGACTGGTTCCGCCGCTTCGCCTGCCGCCGCTGCCGCCCGGGCGGCCAATGCGGCAGCCGAGGCTGAGGTGCTCGACTGGGCGCCGCCTGTGTCCGCGGACGTCCAGTCGGGCGACGAGGAGGAGGAGATCATCACCGGCTTCATCTCGCCCGCGCCAGGCGTTCATTCCGCCGTTGGCGGCACACATGCTGCCACGCAAACTGAGGCGCATGTCTTCATTTCGAACTTTGCGGCAGGGGCGTCGGACGGCGAGCTCGCCGCTGCAGTGGGCGCCTTGTCTGCAGTCGACTTGGCTCGCCTTATGGCGGCTTGCACGGCTGCCCAGCCCACGGCTGGGCCATCGACTCCGGCTATTTCGTCGCCTTCGTCGACATCCGCGACTACCCCTCACTACGCCAACGCCCGGTCCGGCCCCTTCGGCATCTACGGCAGCCCCTGGGGGCGGCATACCGGCTGAGGCCTGGCTCGCCTCGCCTGGGACTTCGTCTTCTGTGGTGCCAGGGCCATCGGTCCCGGAAGCCCGCCAGTTTTGGTCCGACCAGGAGGCGGCTGCTCACCACGTCGACCCCCCGCCGGGCATTGCTCCCATTGACGCCGTCGCCTTGCCCGTCCCGGAGGATGGCGACGACGACCTGGAGGACGGCACGGGGCTTGACGACTACCTCGCCAGCTTCCCGGGCGCCTTGCCCAAGGCCCCGCCCGACACGACGCTTCCGATGCCCGGCGGGCGCCACGATTCGGTGGCCTACCGCCAAGGGGCAGATGCCGCCGCCGCCCCCCCCTCCTACTTCGCCGCCTACCACTTCGGCATCTTCTGGGGGCGCGCAGCCAGTGGTCGCCAAGCCGATGAAGAAGCCGCCGCCTCCCGAGCTGGTCGGGCAAGGGGCGACCACCAAGGCCAAGCCCTTCGCCAACCAAGGCGCCTCCCCCTCCGCTTGTGGTTGAGCCTGCCACGGGGGTGGTCGACCAGGAGGTCCCCCAACGCCAGCCGTCCGGGCTGTTTGGATCAGCTCCGCCTTCCTCGGGGCGCCCGTACCGCCACCGGTGGCCACACCAGCCGAGGAGGAGCCGACGCCCTACGAGCGGCAGCGTCGGGCAATCAGTCAGGAGAACGCCCTTCGGGCGTTGGCCGGGGCCCCATGGGCTTCGACGTCTCCTACGACGAGATGCTGCAGCTCCGCATCCAGCGCGAGCTGCGGGAGATGTCCATGCAGCCGCGCCCGGCCAAACCGGCAGGGCAACAGCCGTTGGAGGTGGTCGTCCCGCAACGAGGGGCGGACCCGGAGCGAGACCACCCGCCAAGCGCCTCCGCGGGCATCCCGCCACCACCCCGGCTTCCTCGTCCACACCGTCGAAGGCCTCTTCGTCCTTTCCGCCTACGGCAGCGGCCTCGTCGGGGGCGTCTTCGGCCTGCGCGGACGTTCCGCCCAGTGAGGGTCCCCGGCCGAGGCGGGTATGGGACCAAGAACCGGGCGCTCCATCCCCAGGACGGCACGCCCCTCTCGGCCAAGGAGAGAGCCGAAGAACCGTCCTGGGCCGGATTTTTTCGACTGACAGCTGGCCTCGACGGGGCGGCCGCCAACACCTCGACCGTTCGGTGGAGGAGCTCCGCGACGGCTATCTCGGGCTGGAGGTCCCTCCGGTCCTGCGCCGTCTTGCTAACAGGGCGGTAAAGTCCATCATTCGTGGCCTGGGCGTCCTCGTGTCCTACCGGTGCGACCTCGCCTTCGACCCGACCGTCGTCCCGCACGCCACCGACGTCCTGGTCCTGGCTACCTGGTTTATGCTCCGGGAGATCGAAATCGCCGGAGCGTTCGGAGACGTGGTGCTCAACAAGCACCTGGTGACTCTGGAGCTCCCCTCCACAAGACCGCCCAAGCGGGCGAGCGGGTGCTCACCCGTCGCTCGTTGCGCTGCGCCTGTGGAGTGGCCACGCACCCCTTGTGCCCGGTCCACGCCATGTTCCGCCATTTCGCCCGCCTCCAGGAGGTGGGGCGCTTGAAGTCTTCAGCGCCCTTATTCCCTGGGAGCTCTGGCGACACCAGGTCCAAGGCCGAGTCGCTCTCGTTCCTCGCCCTGGTGCTAGGGGTCGAACGGCCCGTCTTTGGCGGCCACGCCTGCCGCGTCGCGGGGGCGACCTTCCTGGCCGCACGCGGCGTGCCACTGGCAGTGATTCAGCTGCTGGGGCGCTGGTCCTCCCGCGCCATTGAGAGGTACACGCAGGCCCTGGGGCAGGTGGTAGCGGCAGCCCAGCCGGGGCAGCAGGACCCCGGCCCGGCTGGCCCACCCGCAATAGCCGACGCCCAGGAGGACCCGTGGGAGCCCGCAGCGAGGGAACCGGCCCAGCAGGCGGCCTTGCCCGCCGTTCAGTTCGTCCCGGCCCTGCCCCCGCGGGCAGCGGTTCCGGAGGCTGACCATGAGGACGCCCTCGGCGGGCGGCTCGACGTCCGAGTCCGATTGAAAAAGGAAGGGGGACAGGGCTCGGAGGGCGCGTCGAGAGTCAGTTGGTAACTCTCTTTCTTCCTGCGCTCTCCGCCGGCAGAGCTGCTCAATATTCGCCGTCCTCGCCCTTTTCGCCCCCCCCTTCCGGCCATGGCAGTTCCGCCGCTGGTCTTGGCCCAGCCCGCCCAGGTGCCCGCGTTCTTTGTGGACGCCACCGCCTTTGCGGGCGACGGCGACATCTCCAACGCCGATTGGGGACATGGGCGGTCGGCGTGGACCTGCGGGCCCGCCGGATCACGGGCGTGCCTGAGCTTGGTTTTTCCGCCCCGACATTGGGCGTTTGGCGGCACGAGTTCGCCGACCCCTACCTGGAAGGGTGGCGACGTCCACACTCCGCCGAGCTCATCCGCTGCACGCCGGCCGACGCGGCGGGCGACAGCCAGGCGATGCATTTGATGTTCCGCCTGGCTCGCCGCCACGCGGACTGGCTTCAAGAAGACACCGCGGTGCGGCCCTGGACCTTGGCTCCGCGGAGGCCCCTCGTCCCGTCTGGGCGGTCCGCCCCCGGCACGTGGGCGCGGCAGCCGTGGTATTTGGTTCCGCATGGGGCCTTGGCATCGGCAGGTCCACCGCCTCGACACTCCCGGCTGTCGTCCCAGGGCGGTGTGCGGCCGCACGGTCGAGCCTGAGCGGGCGGCTTTGTTGATTTGGGCGCCTCCCCGGGCGGAGCCCGGAGGGAACCGGTACCTTTGGTGCCGCCTCTGCTGGGGCGATGGCGTCCCGCTCTCGAGGAGCGACTGTGAGCAGCATCCGGACGAAGAGTCCGAGCTCGAGTGAACCGCCATGGAGCGGCATCCGCCCACGTCGGGCGTTCAAAAAGCAGGGCAGGATCGCCAGTCTGGTTGCGCATGTTCCCTTGGCCTGCTCCCGAGTTGTGCCCCCCCTCAGCCTTCTTGCGTCCCCGAGCTCCACCGCCCTCGCCTCGTTCGTCATGGCGGCACCACCTTCGGCGACTTCGGCCACACCGCCAAAGCCACCGTATGCTCGGCAACGGCTGGCACTTGGGCGTGGGGCGTCTTCTCGCGATGGTCGTCTGGGCGGCTTGGCATCAGCCGGCCCAAGGGGCGCTGGTCGTCCATCGTGCCCCGGCCCATTCCACGGTCGACTGGCTCCTTGGCCATTGGTGTGCTCATGGCTGGGACTTCTCGCCGCCGCCTCGCCTGGACCCTCCTTTCCTGGGCGAGGGCCTCACGGAGGATGAACATTGGCAGGCGGCGCCACTCTCTTATGTCCCCACCGTCTTTGGAAGGAGGGCCTGATCGAGTTTCGCGCCAGGTGGCGCCACGACTTGGTGAGGATCCGATGCCTGGTCATCGAAGAGTTGGAGGCGGCGGTCGACGACTTCGGGGACGAGACCGCCACCTGGCTTCGGGCACGCCCCCACCACGTCCGGGCGACCTACTGCACCGCCGACCGCCCCCGCCCCTTCCAGGGCATCGACCTCGAGGAGGGCTTCGACATGCTGGGCGAGGTTCGCCAGGCCCCTGGTTGGAGGGAGCGCGACGACGGGCGGTACTCCAACCCGGCGCCCCTTGACCGCCTCCGCCAGGAGAACCAGAGATACACACGACTCGGAGCACACTTCCGCCCTCCGAGAGGAGCTGGTCAACGAAGCCCGACTGGGGCGGGTTGTGGGCCCTTGCCGGGCCCCCGACGATTGGGGAGTGCCTATGGTGGCGATCCCCGCCTCAGGGCGACTGCTTTGCAGCCCTCTCGTTCGCCATCACCCAGCTCGACGAACACGGGGACCTTAAGCTTCGTCGTGGCGAAGATTGGCGGCGTTCGGGCCACAACGCCACGATGAGGGCGCATGACGTCCCGACTCACCATTTCCTGGGCGACATCGTGGACATCATTCGTCGGGCGGTGGCCTCTGGCTGGGACCCCGTGCTCTTTGGGCACGACTTGCAGAACGCCTACCGCCAATGGGCGGTCAAGTTCCCGGGCCACTGCGGCACTTTCCTCCCGACCGCCGCTGGAACCACGTTGTGGTTCCACTTCGCAATGTGTTTCGGCGCGGCGGCGAGCGTCTGGAACTTTAATCGGGCGGCGGATGCGGTCCAGATGCTGGCTAGGGCGCTGCTCGTCGTCCTCTTCGGGCACTTCGTGGACGACTTCAACGGAGTGGAGGACGCGGCCTCGGCGGATTCCGCCCATTTCGCCCTCGCCGACTTCTTCGCCTTGCTCGGCCTCCAGACCAAGCCGTCCAAAGCCCAGGCCCCACGTGGTCCAGGGCGTTTCGGTGAGGGTCGCCCGGGAGGGAGTCGAACTGCGCCCCACGCCCGACCGCACGAAGAAGATCCTCCAGCAGATCGACCTCGCCTTGGAAAACGACGCCCTGAAGCCCGAGGCTGCGTCCAAGTTGGCGGGGCGACTGACGTTCTTTAGCCAGTCCATCTTCGGCTGCACCGGGCGGGCGGCCATCAAGCCGCTCGGGGGCGGTCACAGCTCCCGTGCCCGTCCTGTACGCGGATGCTTTCTTTCTGGAGGGCGACCTACGGAAGAAGGTGGGGCACCTCCAGCCGGGCGACTCGGTGCCCCGGTCGGCCAGGTGGGAGAACGGATGGGGCTTCGTCCTCCTCTTCGAGGGCCAGGTGTTCTATGACTTCGGCGTCGTCAAGCCCGAGTACCTCAAGCCCTTCGCCTCCCGCCGGGCGTTTATCTACGTGCTGGAAATCCTGGCGCAGGTGCTTCCCATTATTACCTTCGCCAGGCGGCTGCCCCAGCACTGGATCGCCTTCATCGACAATGTCGCCGGGCAGTTCGCCCTGATGAAGGGCTACGGGCGAGACCCGGCCGTGAACGGCATACTCGCCGGCCTCGTTCTGGGGCCTGGCAGCCGATCGTGCGTGGTGCCCTCAGTTCTACAGGGTCCCCTCGGCCGCGAATGTTTCCGACGCCGTCTCTCGGGGCGATGTCTCCCGCGCGGTCCGGGAGGGATGGTGCCGTGTGCGAGCACCCATCGACGACGTCATGGTGATCCTCGGGCGGGCGGCGTCCGACATCGACTTCGCCTGCCACGAGGCTCCTGAAAGGCTGCTTGATCTAGCTTCTTGGTAGGAGTGCCGGCGCCTTGTGGAAGGTGGGTGCGCCGGGCGGACGCAGAAGTGCGCACCCCGGCACCGGCACCGGTTTTCGGGGCGGTGTGCTCGGCCGGGCGCATGTATGCGACTCGACCATCCAAAAAGGAGCCACTGCACCCTAAGTAGGATTTTGGGCTAACTCGTTAGCGCAGCGCTTGTTGTGTAGCGCACGTGTGCGAGTAGGAACAAGCGTCAGCGACCGAACCGCAGCTAGCCGGTTCGATCGCCTGATTTGAGTTCCCGCCCACTCCACCCTTTGAGGTTTAAATCGACTTATATACGGCCGTCACCCGCCCCACCGGGCGGCTGCCCGGGGTGGACGCAGAAGTGCGCACCCCGGCACCGGCACCGGTTTTCGGGGCGGTGTGCTCGGCCGGGCGCATGTATGCGACTCGACCATCCAAAAAGGAGCCACTGCACCCTAAGTAGGATTTTGGGCTAACTCGTTAGCGCAGCGCTTGTTCTCCGGCGGCCCGCTGTATCATAGAGAATAGCTTTGACTACGTTCCATGTCATACATCTACATATATATGTATATATTTATATTTGTAAGTATGTATACACAAGCAAATATGGTACCCTCCCCGCAAAGGTCTGTGTATTTTAGGTCTTTGGACGAGTTCTGTCCGGACACAGCCCGAATCAGTTCCGAGTCATCTTGATTCTGGGCGGGATCCAAGATTCAGATTTCTGAGGGGTCTCGCCCGGGCAATCTTTGATCCAGCACCCGCCCGAGTCGGCCGAACCATTCCGAATCTTTTTTGATTCGGGACCGGATCCAAGATCCAAGATTCCCGGGCAAGACATCTGGGCAATCGTGGATCTTGGATCATGTAAAACAGGAGCCTGGAATTGCAATTCCCCAATAGCTTGATGCAAAGCAGGACCCTACAAACCGCAATTCCCCAATAGTTTGGTGCAAAGCATGACCCTGCAAATGGTAATCCCCCAGTAGCTTGACGCAAAACAAGACCCTGCAACGTGTAATTCACCAGAAGCTTGATGCAAACCAGAACCCTCGCAAATTGTAATCCCAGTAACTTGACGCAAAGCAAGACCTACAAACTGCAATTCCCCAATAGCTAGGTGCAAAGAATGACAGTATAAATGATAATCCTCCAATATTGTGGCGCAAAACAGCAGGAGTCGGGAAAGTGCATTCCCCCAATAGCTTGACGAGTGCGATTGCCCCAACCACTTCACTCCGCAGTTGTCATCACTGCACTCTGCCCGCCGCTACTACTGACCATACAGCAAAAACTGTCAAAAAGAAATAGGGTGTACTCGTCGGCGATTGGCTGCACAAGCAGCCAAGTTACAACATATCTAATCGAATATATATATATATATATATATATATATATATACACACCATATATATATATGTATATATATGTATATATATATATATAAAAATATTTATATATATATATATATATATATATATATATAAATTGATATAAATTGATACATACACACATAGATGTACACACACACACACACGCACACACGTAAGTAAGTATCTTGCACCATGTGAGGCTGAGTACACAGATGCAGATGTATACAGGCATGCACATGCAGTTCAGCAGAGTGAAGGTGCTACGGTGCTGGTTCTGTTGCTGCTGGTGCTGAGCGGCCGTCCTTGTCATCATCATCATCATCGTCATCATTGTCATCATCGTCGTCGGCATCATCATCGTCATCATCGCGCCGGTCATCATCTCCATCCGGAGCACAACCGGAAATGTTGCGGTGGGGAAACCACTGCTGCTTTCGATTAGGGTGAGTGACTGCTTTTGGTGCTAAGAGGGCAGGTGGTTCTCTCTTCGAAATTGTTTTCGCTATCGGTTTACCAAAGCTCAGACAGATCCAGGGCCAACCCTGTTCTCAACTTGCATGCAAATCCCAAGCTTACCCCGACGCAGCATCACAAAATGGCTCCTTCGAACGTACAGGGACAAGTTGATATGAAACGAAGTGCCGTCTTACCTTAATCGGTCAGATGCAGCGCAACTGCTGCAACTAAAGCATCGTTATGGTTCCAGGGTAAGGCTTCTTCGTGCACGGCCAACGCATGGCAGAAGCGATCCGCCATGAGTGGCACCGTCGAGTTCTGGCCCCAGTTCGAGCGCCGAAGATCAAAGCAGGTCAGTGCTCAGCCTGGCTTGCGTGACAAAGGTTGCCGCCGGAAGAGTCGACCCTTCTGCGGGCATCACGAGGGCCGGGGCCGTGTTTCTCACAGAGCCTAGGTTCGAACGATCTCTGCGAGTGCGGAGCATGCTTGTACATGAGAGTGAGAGCACAGGCTTGGTGTTGCCTTTTGGGCTGTGGCGATAGCCAACGGCCTATACATGGCGCCCCGGCCACATACGTGAGTGCAGTTGTGCAAAGATGATCATCGCAAGTCTGGAGTGGTTGCCATAGCTGTTCTTTCTGTGGAGCGGGGAGTCTCCCATATTCTTTTGTTGTGTTGTTTTGCCACAGTTCTGACTGCGCCGGAACCTAGATATTCACACTGCGATCGCAGAGCTTCTGGTCGGATGCTCAGTTGTCATTCAGTTTTGGGGTTTTGTGTCGCTGAGCCAGGCCGGGTCTCCACAACCTTTGTGCGGGCCTCCTCCTAGTGTGCTACTCAGGGGTCCAGTGTGTCTTTGCGAGTCTGCACGAGACTCTCACGAAGGTTCTCGTGGCATCTGCTTCGGGCGTGTGGGAGGCGGGAGGAGCGCGAGCGCCGGCCCAGGGACCTCGCGGCATCTCTCCGTTCGCAGGTGAAGGCCATGCGATCACGGCTGGATGAAAGCGAAGGCCGGTGCCTGAAGGCCTGGAAGGGCCTGGAAGGGCCTGGACACGGAGATTCTCCCAACGGGCGCTGCTCGTACACGTCAGGTTGGCCGTGAGTTCTTCCTGGCCGGCATGTACTTCGTGCGGACCTTTGAAGAGAGCCAAGCTGGGTCTCAGTCAAGCACAGTTGTTTGTCCTGATCCAACGTGAAGACGCTGCGAGTTGCAATCTTCTGAGTTGGAAACCCTTGGCGTCAGGTTGTTGCTGGCTTTCTGAGCTCGCCTTCCACCGCCTCCGAGCCTCAGGACAGTCCTGATTGCTCCGTGAGATTCTAGTGGACAGCACGGCACGACAATCTGTGATCGCCTCGCTGACTTTCAGTCCTTTCGGGCCTTTGTCGGTTTCGATCTGCGTGGCCATGGTTTCGACAAAGCGCGGGTCCTTTGGCGCCACAGTGGCCGTCGGCCTGGCCCTTGTGGCTGCCTGGAGCTGCCTCTGGAGACATGAGGAGGACTTCGTGAGCGGTGTGTCGGTCCAGCCCCGCGAGTCCTTGATGACTCGCTGCGCGGTGGACAAGGCGATGAAGGATCGCCTCGCGTCTGTGGCGAAGACCGCCAAGCTGACCGATGCCATGAGAGTGGTCGCTGCCGCCAAGGTCCGCAACGCCCAGAACGGTGTAGAGAAGCAGCGTCCGTTCACCGACGAGCTCCTGGGCATGATCAAGGGCCTCGTGAAGCGACTCAAAGGCAGCGGCTTTGAGGCAGAGCTTCCGATGCTGCGAGTGCCAGAGAAGGTCACCAATGTCGGCATCTTGATGATCACGGCAAATCGAGGTCTCTGCGGGGCCTACAACACCTTCGTCATTAAGAAGGTCAAGGCTCGTATTGAGGATCTTAACAAGCAAGGCATCGTGCCCAAGCTTTTCATTGTTGGCAAGAAGGGTTTGGCTGCCCTGCAGACGCGTCTGTCCAAGGGCGTGGAGTACAATTACACCGAAGAGTGGTTCACCATGCCCGACAGCATCAGGGCAAAGGACTCTGCTGAGATTGCAGAGGTCTTGCAGAACTACTTCTTGGCCGGAGAGGTGGACAAGATTGAGATTGCATACGGGCGGTTCATCAACTTGCTCAACAACGAGCCAACGATCCGAACTCTTCTGCCCCTCTCGCCCACGGGCATCGAGGATCCCGAGGATGAGACCTTCAAAATGACCACGGAAGACGGCAAGCTGAAGGTGGAGAAGGAGAAGGTGAAATCTCCTAAGGCCAAAGAGATCGAGGCGGATGTGATCTTCGACCAGCCGCCAGAGGTCATCCTGAACTCCATGCTCCCGCTCTACCTGAACTCGCAGATCCTCTCCTTGATGTTCGATTCGCAGGCCTCTGAGCTTTCATCGCGAATGTCTGCCATGAAGGTCGCTACGGACAATGCGAACGATCTGCAGAAGAAGCTCGTTCTCATCTACAACAAGAAGCGCCAGGCCGCTATCACTGCGGAGATTTGTGAGGTTTCCTCAGCCGCAGTGGCGTTGGAGGCAGATGATTCTGGCAAGGCCGGCCCGAACCTGGGTGTCATGGACAACGAAGACACCATCAGCGAAGACTTCATGCAGGAGTTGGAGGATGGCTCCATCTCGGCCACGCCGCAGAAGCCCGAGGAGATCCGAGAGGGAGACCGCTGGGAGTTCATGAAGACGCTGCCCACGGGCGAGGGCAAGGACGAGGGCTTCTGAGGTGGCAAGGTTGCGCAATCTAGTTGACAGCACAAATTTTTGGCCAATTTCTCCCGCGGCCTTGACATCAGATCTTGGGGAAGCGTCGCTCGGAAACAGCCGTGATTCGACATGCATTGTGCATTACAGTTCCTTGAGTCCTTTCCCAACATGACTGTGTCCTGCATGCGTGGAGTCTGTGTAGATGATTACGAACGATTTGGGTGCAGTGCAGGCACGTGTCTGTCTGTTCATGTCCTCGTCCTCGTCGGCAGTGTGGATAGCATGTTTTTTTATATATATATATATATATATATGTTGTTGCTTATGTTGTTGCTCAAGCTCTGCAGCCAATCGAAGTAGTTGCTCAGTCGAGCGTTTGCGAGACCGTGTCATGGTTTCGACAAAGCGCGGGTCCTTTGGCGCCACAGTGGCCGTCGGCCTGGCCCTTGTGGCTGCCTGGAGCTGCCTCTGGAGACATGAGGAGGACTTCGTGAGCGGTGTGTCGGTTCAGCCCCGCGAGTCCTTGATGACTCGCTGCGCGGTGGACAAGGCGATGAAGGATCGCCTCGCGTCTGTGGCGAAGACCGCCAAGCTGACCGATGCCATGAGAGTGGTCGCTGCTGCCAAGGTCCGCAACGCCCAGAACGGTGTAGAGAAGCAGCGTCCGTTCACCGACGAGCTCCTGGGCATGATCAAGGGCCTCGTGAAGCGACTCAAAGGCAGCGGCTTTGAGGCAGAGCTTCCGATGCTGCGAGTGCCAGAGAAGGTCACCAATGTCGGCATCTTGATGATCACGGCAAATCGAGGTCTCTGCGGGGCCTACAACACCTTCGTCATTAAGAAGGTCAAGGCTCGTATTGAGGATCTTAACAAGCAAGGCATCGTGCCCAAGCTTTTCATTGTTGGCAAGAAGGGTTTGGCTGCCCTGCAGACGCGTCTGTCCAAGGGCGTGGAGTACAATTACACCGAAGAGTGGTTCACCATGCCCGACAGCATCAGGGCAAAGGACTCTGCTGAGATTGCAGAGGTCTTGCAGAACTACTTCTTGGCCGGAGAGGTGGACAAGATTGAGATTGCATACGGGCGGTTCATCAACTTGCTCAACAACGAGCCAACGATCCGAACTCTTCTGCCCCTCTCGCCCACGGGCATCGAGGATCCCGAGGATGAGACCTTCAAAATGACCACGGAAGACGGCAAGCTGAAGGTGGAGAAGGAGAAGGTGAAATCTCCTAAGGCCAAAGAGATCGAGGCGGATGTGATCTTCGACCAGCCGCCAGAGGTCATCCTGAACTCCATGCTCCCGCTCTATCTGAACTCGCAGATCCTCTCCTTGATGTTCGATTCGCAGGCCTCTGAGCTTTCATCGCGAATGTCTGCCATGAAGGTCGCTACGGACAATGCGAACGATCTGCAGAAGAAGCTCGTTCTCATCTACAACAAGAAGCGCCAGGCCGCTATCACTGCGGAGATTTGTGAGGTTTCCTCAGCCGCAGTGGCGCTGGAGGCAGATGATTCTGGCAAGGCCGGCCCGAACCTGGGTGTCATGGACAACGAAGACACCATCAGCGAAGACTTTATGCAGGAGTTGGAGGATGGCTCCATCTCGGCCACGCCGCAGAAGCCCGAGGAGATCCGAGAGGGAGACCGCTGGGAGTTCATGAAGACGCTGCCCACGGGCGAGGGCAAGGACGAGGGCTTCTGAGATGAACCCAATCGTCTGTATCCAATTTTTGAGTGATGCTTTCTCCTCGGACTGATACTTGATTGGCTGTGCAGCCTTAGCGAAGCATCGCAGCTCCACCCTGGCGAGCTTTTCCGACAAAACAGAAAGAAGTACTCACGGCAGCTCGTGTTGAATCAACTGAGATCGTCGTCCTGACCTTATTAATCTGGCAGGAGTCAGCAGAAGTATTGGGCTGGGTGCTTATGGGAAGGTTGAGTTGCGCTAATACCGAAACATGGCAAGCTCGGACTTTCCACCCAAAAGTTGGGAGCCCGAGACACCGCTTGCACTTTCGCTGCTTCGTCCGAGGCCGTATACTTTGCGTTTTCGGCTGGTTGCTGGCGCTGCTTCGCGCACTTCACTCAAGGGGATGGGAATGGAACCAAGCGGCGTCATCTTTGCCAACTTGTCGAGAGATCGAGGGCGGGAGAGAGAGAGAGAGAGAGTTCCACTCCGTAGCACAGGGGGTGAGCTGGGCCTAAGGCCTGGGGGGCGAGAGCGACCCGTAGGTCCGGCAGAAAGAAAGAAAGAGAGAGAGAACGTACCTCCAGAGGGGTTTCACAAAGGATGAGAGACCCAGTGCGCGCACACGCGCGCGAGGGGGGCGGCCTCTTCGAGTGCAAGCAAGAGAGCGAGCTAGCTCACGAGAAGCAGTTGGCCGCGCACGGCAGCTGCTGGTAGTGCTTCTGGTACCCTGATAGCAGTCGGGTCCTCTATCATGATACTGGAAGAGGTGGAAAGATCGAACTGTGTTTGCTTATATGCCCGGCAGGAAGGCAGCGATTCCCGCAGTGTAACATCGCTTGAAGTTTAATTTTACAATGCCTGAGTCAATGACAGAAAGGACCTTGGAGCTAAAGAAGTGGGCTTGCATTGGGGGTATGTGCATGAGATTCGGTAACCGACGACTTCTCAGCAAGGTGCTGCTGACGGTAATCCCATGTGCCTGCATCCGAGAGAGCACGAGTATCTCGTGAAATGAATTGCTTTCCAGCGGTTTGTGCGCGTTTCCAGATGGCCCGCCGGGGCGCGGAGAACGAGACCGCAGAGCCGTTCAGGATCTTGTGTGTGCGGGCAGGAATTCAGAACAAATGCATTGCACTGCTCCCCCACCAGGACAGAGCCATCCGCAGAGCCATCTGCAGAGCCGCGGACGGAACCGCGAACGACGCGGTCGGAAGGAGAGCAGGACAGCAGGACACGATGTGAGCTGCAAAGACCTATGCTAGACCTGCTCGCTGCGCCTTTTGAGGAGCAGCCTCGCGAGGCACGTACTGTGTCCACTCCGTCAGGGCTGTGCCCCGACGTGCCAAGGCGGGAACTCGCGTAGCGGCGTAGCTCATCCCATGCCTTGGGGCCGTCGTCGAGTCGTCGTCGCGTGGTGGCAGGTACGATCCCAAGGAGTCTGGCCAGCGGTGACACCGTCTCCCAGGCCATGCGGCCATGCTTAGCCCCAAAGGAGGGAAAACGGATTCCAACGTTGGTGTCTGCGAAAAGCAGGGAGGGCAACGAGTCGAGCCTCGACTTGCCTTGGCTGGAACAAGTCACGACAGCGCGACAGTAAGCGGTGCTTGTGGGAAGGCGCAAGTTCCGGAGCAGAGCCCTTTGGCTTTGATATGGAGCCGTCGCATAGCATAGAGTGATTTGTTGTTCGGAACCAGAGATCAGCCACAAGTTCATGACTGACCGCATGGTCAGATGCAAAGAGCAGCCTCAGGATCCACGATATGGCTTGAGGTAGGGCTGAGCCATGGCGCTGACGGAGACCATGGGACATGTGGGACTTCGTGACGTTTACCCGAGAATGCCGGGACGACGTCCCGAGCCGGGAGAGGATTTCGAGGATTTGCTCTTGCCCAGCCGGGTGGAGAGTTCACCCGAGCGGAGAGTGCCTGGCATCGCCGGCCCGGTCTACTCGCGTGGCTACGAGACCGAGACCAGCGACGGCATGCGGAGAGCCTCCTCCGAAACTTTCATCTCCTCGCTCAGCTCGCCTGGGTCACCGAAGAGGCTCGTGGCAATTCTTTCCAATGTCCGGGCCTCCGGAAGCCTCTGGGAGGTTCGAGCAGGGAGCAGCCTTTGCAAAGTTGCACTTGAGCCGGAGCCTTGCGCCTGCAGCCTTTCGGCATTTGTTGCGGTCTCTGCCATGCAGGCATGCACTCAGATCGCTTCGGCCGCTGTCGTGAGAAGGAGGTGCCTTCCACTGGCATTCACAGATCACTTCAGAGAAGCGGCTTCGCTGAGGCGCCGGACTCCCCCTCTGCACAGGCCAGGGGGGCCAAGCACGTCGCGGTGTTGCGGCGTCGCGATGCTCTCGCCAGGCCCTCACGGCAATGGTGGAGCGCCTTCACGACGAGGCCCATTTGGGTAAGTGCGGCACCTCTCAGCTTGACTTCGCCCAGGAGCTGAGGAAGCGGGAGGCCCTTTTCGGGCGTGCAGCTACTAATTCGGAAGATGTATTGTCCAAAACCCGTTGTGAAGCCCCACCCGTGGTGAAAGAGGTGCCTATTTCGTTCCAGCTGCAACCTTTGGACGCTTCCTGGAACCAGAGCTTGCAGGAGCGCAAAGCCGCACGGACCTTTGAAAGAGAGCAGGACGAGATCCGCAGTCGTCGAGCTTAAGGGGGCTTGGATTTTGGGCTAGTTCTTCAGAGGCTCTGCTGGGATAGCGACAAGGAAGGCATCAAGTGGCGTGACGCCTGCAAGGAGTTCTGTCGGCAAGCACCATTTGTCCCGTCCTTGGTTTCGGAAAAATAGCAGTTTTCTGGTTTTTCAGGGCATCGCATCGAACGTTCATGTTCTGATGCAGACGAGTAGACTTGGAGGCCCCGACCTTGTCCAGAGCCAGTCGATGCCTCCATCTCAGCTTGACCGGACTTTGTTAAAATTCTCTTCGGTCGAATGCGACGCAGTCGTAGGCACCTCCGAACCGGGAGAGCGGCATCTCGTCCTCTACGACCAGCGCTTGGAAATGGCCCGGGGAAAGCGATGCCCTGCCATGCACATTGCAACGCCGACTACGGCCCCGAATACGGCCAGGCCCAGCGGCGGCGTCAGCGGCAAGAGCAGAAGCTTCGTGAGGAGCAAGGGTCCCGGCCGCTCCCGAAGAGACAAGATGCGAAGAAAGGGGGTGCCACTCGGCCACTCGGCCGCTCCCGCTGCCGCTCTCGGGCTCTCAGGCGAGACTACCGCGAGGCCAACAGCGTCCATCGGGCCAGATCTCCGCAGGCCGCGGCTTCAGGTTGCCGGGAAGCTGTGAGCACGGTATGCAAAGGTCAACCCGACGGTTTACCAGCGTTCGCATCTCAGGTGAAAGTCGCATTCACCGCTGTTCTGGGACACAGAAACAAAACACAAGCACAAAAGCAACCTAAAAATCCTAAATCAACTCTTGCACCATTCTAGAGCTGAAGCTGCAGACCTCGAGCTGCCAAGGATTGCATGAGGATGCAGAGCTGAAGAGAAGGCCTCCGGGGAGCACTTTCACACAGGGATGCTCTCGGCTCTGTGGTGTCCAGGCAGCGGCGGCAGGTTCATATGGAGGAGAAGGCGCGCACATCGACTGTGGCATATGTGTTTTCGATTTAGCGGCAGGTTCCGGGTTGACTGTGATTTCTGTTTTTCAGTGCGAGACGGCCACTGCAACTGGGTTCCGAATTCAAGACCTGTCATTCGGTACCACTCTGTCGCAACAAGAAGCAAGAAGCTTTTTTTGTTGGTACCGCCCTAAGCTCCTTGTACTGTAACAGGGCGTAGAGTCTGCAATCGAAACCCCTTGCAGTTGTCACTTTAGCACCGAGCTGTGCCCTTCCAGGATCCTGCGCGAGGCAAGTTCCACGAATTGCGTGTCTTGGGAATATTCACAGATCGGATCTGTGACAGTCTCGATGGATTTGGGGTATGGGTCGATGGTTGCTTCGGGCAATTAGTAGCATCGTCAAGCCTTTTGATACTTTCGTATTGGAAGCTATTTGCACTTGGCCGCATGTGTTCGAGCGATTCTGGAAACTTCCAGCAGCATCCGTACAAGCCCTGCCAATTTCGTGCATTGATGGCCTCAACACTTTTTTCGATTAGCTTGCATAATTGGGGGAAATCTGAGCAACACTACAATTGCCGGAACATCGAGTCATTGCCGACTCTATCAGCGACAACCTTCTGATTGAGTCTGTTTGTCGGCAACCGTGCCTGTCTCTAGGGACCGTTGGTGCCAGGGCTAATGGGTCGGTTGTGCTTCACATCCAACAGGCTCCGACAGGGGGCTTGAAGAACCGCGCTGTTGTGGATCATGCCAGCTGTTAGTTCGTTGGTGTTGACTGTTGCAGCTGCAGCCCGTGCAAGCCTACTATACTGGTACTGCTTGGAGGGCTCCGCAGAGTCCTTTCCTGATCGTCAGGCGTTACGAGTGACAGGCAGCTGAAGCTGTATGAGCAAGCCGTGGAGGCAGTGCCGAGCTTAGTGACGACCAGGCCGCAGAAGTCGGCGTCGTTAAATGCAAACAGCATGAATCTTGCGATCTTCTGTGGCGAGTCACGGTCATGCAAGGCTGAGAAGAGGCGCGCCATGCAGCAAGAGAAACTCGAGCAGGAGTGGAAGCCTCAGGAAGCCTCAGGAATTCTGGAGCTGCCGGAGCCCGAGCCAAGCAGAATCTGCTCCTTGAGGCAGAGGTACCTGGAATCGCATAGCGTCCATCGTGCCAGATCTCCTCAGGCCGTTTGGGTTCACAGGTTGCAGGTCGCACTTGTGAAGTAAACGCCGTCCCTGGCTTTCTTCCCTCAGCCTAGCCGTGGCCGCACCGTCCAGGATTTGCAGTCCTGTTTGTTGCTGCACATGGGCTCTAGGCAAATGCCATGTTATTGCTGGTTAAGGAAGACATCATTGAATCATCAGGGCTCGAATCTCAATCTCACCACAACTCGGAAAGGCTACTGCAGTGCCCGGTCTAGTGTCGTAGATCACGGGCTGGAAGGCAGACGTTGGTTTCATCTCTCAGCGTCCTGGGCTCAGTTCAGCTTGTAAGCGAGCCCGGAGCTTCTTTCCGGTAGAGCTGAGGCCTGTACGAGGACGCAAAGCTGAAAAAGCGGTGTACTTAGGATCTTTAGCACATGCAGCACTCTCCACAGAACGTGCAGCATAAGATGCTCCACTCTCCGAGCTCTGAGCTCCCGGGGCAGACTTCGAAACGAGGCTGCGACGACGAGAGCTTCAGAGAGAGCAGGCAAAGGGGCCTCGGCGGCCTCGGGCAAGCGGCCTTTGCCACCACGGATGCCCTGCCCCTTTGCACAGGAACTCAAGGAAGGCTCAGAGGTGCTTGGCCGCAGTTCCAACATTTGGGCAGCTGTCCCTCGACTTTTTGACAAGGCCGGCACTCGCAAGAAGCCGTCGCGAAAGGCACCCGAAGCCACTTTGAGCAAGTTGCTCCCTTCTTCCTGTTGTTCGCTCTCTCTTACTCCCTCCTTCTCTGATGCTTCTCTTCCCCTTTTCTCCTTCGTCCTCTCCTCTCTCTCCCTCTCTCTTTCTCTCTTCTTCTGCTTCTTCTTGTCTTCGTCGGTTCCTCGAGGACGAGGCAGCGCTCGTGGAGCGGCTCTTCCGCCCAGAGCGGCGTCAGCGCCAGGCGCACCTCCGCGAGGAGCGGAGTGGCGGACACACGCCCCGTCCCGCAGCATCTGTTTGTGCTCTGCAGCTCTTAGTTCAGTTTTTTACAATCTCTCTCCTGCCGGTGCGAGGACGAGGAAGAGTGGCTGCAGCAACGCAGGCGAGATGGCAGTGGCTCTTGCAAGTGAACACTGAGCAGACAGCTGACACCCGCTACTGTCGCAAGCGCTAGCCGGAGCGACAGCGTCAATGATGAGCACTGCATAAGGAAACTAGAGCTAGACCAACGTAACTTCGAATTGAAGATCATAAACTTTCTGATACTTCGACCTTGGGCACAGGAGGTTCTCCCTGCCGCAGCGGGCAGTGTCCTTTCAGGCAAGCAGCGCCTTGTTTGGGTTTGCTCTGTGATTCAATGCCAGACTGGATTTTGCCAGGGACGCTTCCCCTCGCCCCCCAGCACGCCTTCAGAGACGCCGAAGGCAACTGCGTCGCTGTGCCGACGTGCTTGCGGAGGGGTTGCGTTTCCTTTGCCAGGCTAGCTCGGAGGTCGCACCGCTGGTGCGCCCATGTCACATGTCGGAGGTCACGGTTTCAGGAGGCCTCTCGTTTCGCGAAAGGCAAGTCCTGGTTCGTCGCCCACCACGCAATCTGCGGGGCCCCTTTGGGGAGCTTTGCGGGATCCTCCAGGAGGTTTGGAGGCCAGAGCGCGGCATCTTTCACACCTTCGCAAAAATGCTTCATGATGGTATCAGGACGTGCACGGAGAGAAGTTGCCCGAGGGCTTTGGGATCATCCTCGAGGGCCAGGCAGTCCCGCCCTTTGCGGTTGTGGTTCCAGGTCTCTTGCTCTAGGGCTCTGAGAGACTGTTACGAATGGCTTTTGGGGACGTGGAGTTGCAGAGTTGTTGGAGTGACAGAGCGCAGAATTTGATTTTTTGCATCTGTACTTCTGCAGGGCTGCGGTGAGTGTTGAGAAGGATGCTTCTCGGAACAGGTTAATGAGGCAGCTGCCGTCGAAGCTGCAGAACATCCCTCCGCAAACGTGGAGAAGGTGGGAACTCTTGCCGACTTGTTGCCTTGGCATGACTTGGTGCTTCGTTCACAGGAATCCTGCCATTCCAGCCAGCCTGCTTCGGTGACAAGCGCCGTCGCTCTTGAGCCTCAGGACGGCTTCTACATTCAATAGCCGATTCCAGCTGCGTGTGCTCGCGACGGTTGCAGCTTCCAAACCCAATGTCGAAGATCGCGAATTTCTGAAATGCTCTGCAGGCTGTACACATCTCTTGGGAGCTGAAGTTTCTGAAACTAGGGTATGTGGCTGTTACAGGAAAGAGTTGTGAGTTGTGACCTCTGCCCCTCTTTGCTCGCGTTGTAGGAGCTTCCCCAAACGGGGCCTCTGGCCTCCGAGAAGCGGCGTTTGTCACTTGAGCTGGAGGAATGCTTCTAAGAGGCGGTTGATTCGCTCAGAAAAAAGCCATCTCTGCTTTGCCGGCGGTTGCAACACAGCTGAGCTCGGCTGGCCCAGCTATCTTGTTGCTAAGAAGTCGCCTCTGCGAGTGTACAGGCTCGTAGTGACCAACATGGCAGGAGGTTTCCACTTTCACCAGGCATCATTTTGGTCATGGTGGTGCGAGAGGTGTCAAGGTCGTCCATGTCTCTACACAAGCGCAATCTACATCTACACTTGCCGCTCTACAACATCACATTGACATCGGCGTTCCTCAGTGTTCTCCATGTCGTACGAGCAGCGGCCTCTTTTAGAGCGATGGTCGTGCTGCACGAGTGGTATGGGCTAGAGCCAGGGCCTCGTCTTTGCCTTATCCGCGACCCGGCCCTGCATTGCACTGCCCCCTATGCAGGCATGGAGCAGCTCGGGAAGAGGAGCTGCAAACGCTCCTTGTCAATGCAGCCTCACGGGCTACAGCAAGACCTTGCAGCTGCTTTGTAGTTCTGGCTGCTTAGGTCGGCCTAGTGATTGAAGAAGGCTGGCGGGGCCTACGTGGGGGGCAGAACGTGAAATGCTTGCTGGTAGGCTGCCATGGCTGACGTTGACGAGCTGGCGCGTCCTAAGGATGTGAGTGCGAGGGAAGCTTGGCAATCGTTCTTTTGTTCTTTGGACATTGATCCAACGAGCCAGGACACCCAGAAGATCGTCCAAAGAAATGCAGCCATGTCAGCGAATGAGCAGGCGAGCTTCACGGATGACCCGTGCCACGTAGTGACATGTCGTGACTCTAGTGGCTCGGTGTGACCGGGAATCAATCTCCTTCTTCGAAGGAGGATGCAGAAGCACCTCAAGGCTCTGTGCGCAAACATCGGGCACACTAATGGAACTTCAACTCTACATGAGTTAATGAATTTTGAGGTGAAAGCGTCAAGTTGAACTCCGTGAAGCTTCCCCAGGACGGATTGATGAGGGCCCGGTAGAGCTACAGGCAATTCATGAACATGACTTCGTTGATTCTACAAGACGAGAAGAACAGCAGGCAGGACTTGGATGGTGTTGTATTGTTGCAACGAATAACATAGACAACATTCGCGACAGTCTCTTTGACGAGAATGCTGGTGGTGCAGAAAAACTGTGGTAATTATGTGTTTACACGAATGTAGTGAGGCTGCTGTTGTAATTCAGGCCAAGTTTAGGCATAACAGCGTGATTAGTCTAGCAAATCTAACTTGCAAATATGACAAAATTGTAGTAAGTATTTTGAACGCCATAATGAATGCAGTGGTTCAGGCAAGTATCCAGGACATCTTATGAACACTGTGGCGACTCTTTCGCAATGTTGCAACACGAGTATGTATTCAAGAGTCCATAGGGCGGTGACATGTAGCTTTTGCAGCATTCAATATTCCATCAACCGGCTGGCGGACTGCGCTATTAATGGTTGTCATGTTGCAGTGTGCGGCCTTTCGCTTTTGGTCATGAGCATGCGATCCTGGTCTACGCATCCTGCCCACAGGAAGCGATGCCAGTGACGAAGACAAGTTCCCAAGGCAGAAACCTTCACGCGAGTTCGTGGGTGGATTCGGACATCTGTGTTTATGGGCATGGCCGCTGGGCATGCCTTGCAACGGCTTCGGCGGTTGGCGAGATTCGCTGACTTCTTTTCATCGTTTGCATGCAAGCACGCAGTCGAGCCAACGAAGAGCCTAGATCAGTCCTCTGCGGATCTGGAGGCAGCCTAAGAGAGGGGCGGAAGCCCTGGTCCTTCAAAAGAAGCAGTGAACGCACGGAGGCAGGATCCGTTGCAGAACAGCCCGGCTTCCACCTGAAAACGCAGAGTCCCAGAAGGGCCGCGGGAGGACTTTCAGAGGTCCTAGGTCCGACAGCTCCCCAAACCTACCGAAGCATGTCGAAAAAGCAGTGTGACTCTGTCGAGCTATCGAACCCTGACGATGCAGGGCGCTGCGTATGTTCCGGTAGGTATCGGCTGCAAGCCCAAGCAGCCCAAGCAGCCCAAGCAGCCCAGCAAGCGCAGCGAGCCCGGCGAGCCCGAGCACCACAGAGCAGGGACGAGGTGACCTCGGCCAGTCGCACACCCGCACACCGGTTCCGTGACGTTGCATGTCCAGGGGCCTTCAGACGGCGGCTGCCTTGGCAGCGCAAAGCGGATCAAAGCGACAAGGCGCTGAATCGCAGGTGTGGCCGGCCCGTCTGAAGCAGCTTACTGTATCCGACGAGGATTCAGCCGACGGAGAGGGAACGTCAGCCACAACACGGGCAAGCTCCCCATCGAAGCAGGCACTCGGTTTTGGGCTTTTGACCCTCGAGTGGTAGAGAGCAACAGCCTTGCAACCTGCTAGAGAGTTCTGCTCTTCCTTTGTCGCTGTGACGAGGATCCAGTCGATGCAGGGCGGCCTGCGACAACTTCTGTTCGCGCCACATCTCCAGTGAAGCAGGCTTGCATGTCTGGCTTATAGTTATCAATGGCGAATGATAGGTGTCTTAGGCTGCCATGGGAAATCGAGCGCACGAACATCAAACGCGACATACCAAAAAACAAGCAATCTGGGAGTTCACTCTCGCGGCGGTCTTCAAGAGCAGACGCATGATCCATGTGGAAGCTGATCTCCTAATGAGAAAGGAAGGCTTGCATGCGGCAACGAAACAGATGCGGCCTTTGCCTGAACAGCAAGCTCTGGGGTGCTTCGTTTGGGTTGTCGACAGGGTTTTGATTTCATATCGTGATCCTCATGAATACTTTCGGAATGGTTTTGTTTTCGTCTCGCCATGTTCATAGTTTTTCCCATTTCTCCCAGGTCCAGTGGATGTGAAATCCAGAAATCTGCGACTGTTGCACCGAAGACTTCGAACAACAAGCGGAATTAAACTGGAATTACCGTGCAAGCAATGAATGCACCCTAACCACAATGGAAAGTGAACTAAAGCAATGAGGGCTCGTACAAGCGGAAAAGCGTTCGAGAAACAAAAACAAGACAAGAGTTTGAATCAATGAGTCATTAGTTTGTTCCGCGTCGTTATCCTTTGCTTCTGTTAGTTTCTGATTTTCGTGCAGTGTATTTGTCACGTTGTTTCCCATTCATCTTCGCTTTTTCTGTCGAGCCTGTTGGTTGTTGTTGTTGTTGTTGTTGTTGTTGTTGTTGTTGTTGTTGTTGTTGTTGTTGTTGTTGTTGTTGTTGTTGTTGTTGTTGTTCCTCATCTTTGTAGCTTCTGCTTTCCAACGAGTTATCGGACGGGGGTCATCTTTAAGCCCATAGTAGATCAGCACCTTGTCTGCAAGTGCAGCACAGCGCAAACATGTCAGCGATCCGTCTCTGTGTGTGTTTATTACCTTTTTGTGTCCTGTCTTGTTCATGTGACTTGCCCCCGTAACGAGGATCCAGCCATTGCAGCACCGCCTTCGATATCCATTCATGAGGCCCCTCTCAATTCAAGCAGCCCTTCGTGTGTTGAAGCTCTTATCTTGTTTCATGAGCCTCCCTTGTCCCTTGCAGCAAGGATCCAGCCGATGAAGGGGTACATTCTGCGACGGCTTCTGGTGGAGCCACATCTCCATTGAAGGAGGCTTGCGTCTCCGGTTTAGAAATGAACAGCGGCAAGCATGGAAGGATTTTACAGGGCACGGATTTCCGTTGCATCCTTCCTGTTTCATCTTGTTCTCCACTCTGCCTTTGCTTGTCTTCGTGACGAGGAGCCAGAATCTATGCCTGCGACAACCGGTACAGCTACCTCTCCACCGAAGCAGGCACGCGGCTTTGCGTTATTCCGCGTTCTCAGGTACGACGTAAGGAGCAGAACAGGTCACAGGTCAGGTCTCGAAATGTTTACTTGCGTGGGTGCTTAAAATTTCAGTGATTCAGGCCTGCTTTTTCAGCACCTTCGTTGTCCGATGCAGCTGATGCAGAGGTACAGCCCGGTACATCTACTCACAGGTCAACATCTTCATCGAAGCAGGCACTTGGTTTTGGTCCATTCCCAGCCAATAAGTAGCAGAAGGTACTGGCACTGTAGGATCTGCAGCAGGCTTCCGTTTTCCGGGCGACTCCTTCCGATGAAGAGGTATCATCTTCGCCGACAGCTCGCGGGACATCCCCTTCATTGAAACAGGCGCGGGACTCTGGGAGAAAGGGCAAAGGTGTTGTGATGCTCGAATCGGTTCTCTTCCGGATTCCTTCGCGAGTGCCCACCCGACGCAGAGGCACGACCTGCGACATCGCCGCTTAAGGCAACCTCTTCGGTGCAGGAGCCACGCAGCTAAGTCGGTCTCAGCTACACATCGCCCAGGGCGCAAGTCTTCAGATCTTAGTGGGTGCCAGTGCGCGAACCCGTGCATAATTTGCCCACCGCTTGCGACGAGATGTTGTTCTGAGCTGCAAGCAGCTCCACCGGGTGTACCTGGTGGAATTTTCGTTGATGCACTTGCCCGAACCGGTGTGTCTTGTCTTCGCGACTTGGTGTGTTGTCCTGTTGAGTGATTCCCTTACGCCTGCGACGAGGACCCAGCCGATGCAGAAGCATTGCCTGCGGCAGCTTGGGAAGCCTCTCTATTCAAGGAGGGGCATGGATGGCTCCTGTGGCGTGTCTCCCCAGTCGCTGCGCCACGAGGATCCAACCGATGTGCCTGCGACTGCAGGGGCAACCTCTCTCTTGAAGCAGGCACTTGGCTCTGGGTTGTTTCCAACTGGAAGTAGCACAGGTCTTGATGCGCAGAACTGTGTGCTGTCTTCCCTTATATAAGCCTGCGACGAGGACCCACCCGATGCAGAAGCATTGCCTGCGGCAGCTAGGGAAGCCTCTAAGGAGGGGCATGGATGGCTCCTGTGGTGTGTCTCCCCAGTCGCTGTGCCACGAGGATCCAACCGATGCGACTGCGACTGTCACGGCAACCTCTCCCGTGAAGCAGGCACTCGGGCTCTGGGCTATTCGTAACTGTAGGTAGCACAGATCTTGATGCACGGAACAGCGTGCTGTCTCATCTTAAACCTGTGACGAGGACCCAGCCGATGCGGAAGCACTACCTACGCCTGCTAGGCAGGCCTCTCCAATCAAGGAGGGGCATGGATGGCTCCTGTGGTGTGTCTCCCCAGTCGCTGCGCCACGAGGATCCAACCGATGTGCCTGCGACTGCAGGGGCAACCTCTCTCTTGAAGCAGGCACTTGGCTCTGGGTTGTTTCCAACTGGAAGTAGCACAGGTCTTGATGCGCAGAACTGTGTGCTGTCTTCCCTTATATAAGCCTGCGACGAGGACCCACCCGATGCAGAAGCATTGCCTGCGGCAGCTAGGGAAGCCTCTAAGGAGGGGCATGGATGGCTCCTGTGGTGTGTCTCCCCAGTCGCTGTGCCACGAGGATCCAACCGATGCGACTGCGACTGTCACGGCAACCTCTCCCGTGAAGCAGGCACTCGGGCTCTGGGCTATTCGTAACTGTAGGTAGCACAGATCTTGATGCACGGAACAGCGTGCTGTCTAATCTTAAATCTGTGACGAGGACGCAGCCGATGCGGAAGCACTACCTACGCCTGCTAGGCAGGCCTCTCCAATCAAGGAGGGGCATGGATGGCTCCTGTGGTGTGTCTCCCGCGTCGCTGTGCCACGAGGATCCAGCCGATGTGCCTGCGACTGCAGGGGCAACCTCTCTCTTGAAGCAGGCACTTAGCTCTGGGTTGTTCTTGGCTACACTTAGGCACAATGCAGAGGTGTCTTTGGGTGTGCATGCTGCGCATGAGATCAGTCTCCACTGTCCACTTCCCCGATTGCATGGTCGCTGACAGTCGCTGCTGTTGTGGGGTTCAGAGGCACGCGGATGGAGTTTTGCGGCAGGTCTCCGAAGCAGATCAGGAGGCAAGTGCCCTTCGCCATGACGGAGAGGCAGGGATCTGCCCGGGACCTGAGCAGCCTGAGCCTGGCGACGTCGGACGCTTAGAGTTTTGCCTTTCGTCCAGTGCATGAGGGAGGGCAGCCGACTTTCTCGCCCCTTTCGCAGGCTCGAACGGAAGAGGAGCCGAGCGCTCCCTGACCAGTCGCACTGCCATGCTCTGCTGCTCTGCCTGTGTTTCGGAGGAGGGCCACGGATGGCAGGGCCTTCCGTCTCTGCCATTGCAGCTTGAGCTTCGGTCTGGTACGGGAGAGGAGCCACAAAAGGTGCGGTGTAGAGCCTCAGCTCCGCTGCGACCCAAAAGGACGGGCTCGATGGGGGTAGATCACGGAGCCCACGCCTCAAAGATTCTGGTGCTGATGAGCTGTCATAGCCGCGACTCTTATAAGAGGCCCAAGTTGGAGGAAGCTGCGAATTCGAGAGAAGTGCCTCGGGTTAACTTCATCCCAGTGCCGGGGCACGGGCGTGTCACGCTGCTTGTCAAAGCCGAGGCAGCAGCGAATCCGCCGGAGGCGGAGACGAGCCGTGGACCCGAGGACTCGACCACCCCCAGTGTCTGTCGAGGCCAGGGTCGACGAGCCCCTTCGAGTCGCTTTCGAGCCGCCGGCGGAGGAGCGGAGCAGCGCAGCAGCGCTTCCTGAGATCTCACTCGGACTCTTCGTGGCACCTGGCACCTCGCAGGTCGCCGGAGAGCCCACAGAGCAGCGGCCCGAGCTCAAGAGGAATCCCATGGTGGCCTGTTGGCCGATGGCATCAATCCTCCTCCTGTCAGGCGTGGCGAGCACGGCGAGCGTGGCGAGTCCCGGCGGAGGACGCTGGACAGGAGAGCGGAGCAGAGCCGCGCAGAAGTGCCAGTGCGAGCCCTTCGACCCCCCTTTTCTGCCAGGAGTGCCGCCGAAGGCTGCGTACCCCAACTTGTCAGGTCTGCGTGTGCAGAAGCCGAGGCGTGTCAGCACTATGAATGAGTGGGTGTTCGTCAAAGGTTGGACTTTGCTGGATGGCGGGATGTAAGGGTTGACTCGTAAGGTTTCCATAGAGGCAGGCCATTCGCCTGCTGGCACAGCGTACTGGGGTCTGCAGGAAAGGTCCCAGAATGCCCAAGTGTCACAACCAGCGAGGCGAGGGCTTAGTTGTGCACGGCCGAACAGACTCATCAGCCGGTTTGCGGCATGGTGGGCATAATCACAAAGCAAGCATATAGAAGGAGACGGCCGCCAAGGGTATGTCTCAAAACGCGACAAAGAGCTGTTGTACAGGCTGAATCAGGGGCTAGCCTTCTCGGGAGGTCAGGGGCCAACAAAAACAGAAGGAGCCACAGGACTCTGCAAAGGACTGTTGACGACAATTTACAAGAAATGTTGTTTGTGAGTTGGAGACTTCAAATTTGGAACATCAAGAGGATATCATGTTATGGAATGCGGCATGCTGAATTAGAGCCTCTAAGAAATGGGAGCCAAAGCTCAGAGACAAATCCCGTAATCAATCGTTATGATTCCAACAGGCGCTTCGGTGCCCCATGTGCCTTTTCATAGGTGCTCAAGCATGAGCCATCGTAAGATGCCCTTACCTCGATTTGTGCGTGTCAACCTGCGGGGCATTTTACAACGCCAGGCGGAACCCCGTAAGTCCTTCGCACTGTTGCCTGCTGGCCGCTGGAAAGATGGGCCCGCAATTTCCGCAAGAAAGGCCCGTTTTGCATGGATGTTGCGCTAGCAACCTCGTGTTTGTCGGAGGCAAGAGGAGGTGGTTGAGCGCCGCGGGAGGGGCAGTCCCCCTTCTTTCATTTCTGGCGAAACAAACCGAAAGAGAGGTGCACGTTCGCGAAGGACAGTGTCGCTGCGAAAGAAAGAGAGAGGGCAGAGAGAGAAAGTGTTTGGATGCCGGACTGCAAAAAACGAAAAGAAGGATGGGGAGGGGACGATCAATGCACGTCGACAGGCTGAAGGACCTCCGGGAAGCCCGCCGAGCACAGGAGGCACACAAGTCACGCAAGCCCGTTCGAGCAAGGATTGCCAGTTTTGGGGCCTAGCAGGCAGCGGAACGGGCAAGCAGCCGCACACTGCCGGGGACCGGACCTAACGTCAGTTGTCGAGTGTGGTGAGTGTGACTTCGAGGCCAGGCTCGGTGCTGTCCCGTGCCACGAAGCAGGGCACAATCTGGCACAGACTGCACCAGATGCGCGCAAGCCCGGATTCGACAACAGCCGCTAGAGGGCAGGGGGCGTTTCAGCCGAGGCACAAGGAGCTGGTCGACAAGCGCACCGAGCTGGTGGAGCGATCCCTGAAGCAGGCGGTCTTGCAGAAGCCCGAAGTGCCAAAATGCAGAGCTCAAAGCTCGGTCGACACCAAGCAAAAGGAGAAGCAGAGCTGACCTGCGAGGCCGAAGATCGCGAGAAGTCTCTAAGATCGGAGCACAAGCCGAGGCGTGCAAGCCTTGCAAGCAGCTTTTGCAGCTTTTGTGGATTTTTCCTGGCTTTTCAAGAGGCAAGCCGCTCCTGAAGAGGCAGAGGGAGGGCATTCCTCCCGCGCTGCGTCCGCAACTTGGGCGGGGTCCTTTTTTCAGGTGCAGCTCATCGCCTCCAAGCTCCACTCGCAACATCAAGAGCGGCAGGCACGTCATAAGACCGGGCCCGGTCCGTGTCCCCCTAAGAGCAAAACTTAGCCAACGAATCCAGGTCCAGGATTAAGTCTAGTCAGACAAGCACTCGGCTTTGTTTGTTGAGCCCTCAGGAGAAGCGCCAGGCGGCCCTGCAGGCTGGCAAGGGAAGCGTGTCAATGTGCGTCCTCCCAGTCCCCTCATAGGAGAACGAGAAGCTTCTTGCCCGGATCTACAGCTTTGCACCGAGTCTTTCGCCAAAGACAAGGCCTGTATGCAACCCCGAGTGGGAGTGTGCCAGAAAAGCAGCGACGACGCAAGAATCGAATTAGAATCGTCGCTTTGGAAGCCTGAAGGCCATGTGACAATCCGGCATATTCGGCAGCACCGTTCATGCCGCTGTGTGGTTGCGCAAAGCAATACGAGTTATGTGTTATCGCAATACACCACAAAATGCACGAGACAATTTTTGCACACTCAGACAACTTGACATTCCTGGCGTTTGCTTGCTGTGTTCGGTGTTGCAGGGAGCTGGTGGAGTCTCAGGCCTGTGCCCCAGATTGACTTGGATGGAACTGACTTCAGTCGTGTGATGTCTTGTGCTGCAGTTTGCACCTAGGGCGCGAGTGAGCGGTTCTCAGTTCTGTACGACGACCATCGGCGCAGGCAACGGTGACATGTGCGTTCAATTTCCTCAAGAAAGTATCTAAGCATGCCTCAGACAAGCGCCAATTGCACACGTTCGCACACCGACGCATACTCTCTTCACAGGGTTCGGTGCCCGTGATTGCCCCTGTCCAGCTAGAAAGCCGTGACCTGACCGCCGTGACCGGGAGGATGGCCTTGAGGGAGGAGATCTGCAGGAAGAAGGACTTGGAAGAGCAGCGGCAAATTTCAGAGTGCAGGGCTCAAATGGAACTTGTGCAACCAAGCTCCCAGGAAGCTCCTCTCTTCCTGTACTGAAGAGAGCAGTTACTCTGGATCCAAGGAACAGATTTCACAAGGTGGAGAGGAAAGTGGCTGGATCCTCAAGCAGTTTGGGAAGCTCATGGCTCGAGAGACACTACTGACTACTGCAGCTGATCTGTCGGTTGCCCGAATCAGACTCTACGGTCATGTTTGAATGTCCGTTCTGACAGGTCTCAGCTAGCCGACTTGACTACACTTGTAAGACGGCAAGACAGCAACAAGGGTTCAGGCATGACTTTGAACTGACTTGAGTCATTTAGTATTTGGTTCACCGCTCTAGAATTCAGCCGTCAGTTGGCAGCACTTGCTCCTCGGAACATGCGTTACTATCTTCTCCAACAGCCTTGTCCTCGGCATTGCGAGTCTGATAGCTTTAAGGTTTGACCGGAAGCCCCACTCTTGTTGTGCAACACGCAGTACCAGTACTTATAAGTTGTTGTTCAAAACGTGTCTTTCCACCGGTTCTTCCGTGGTAGAGAGTTGAAATCAGGAATAGCATTACCCCTCCCCATCCATGGGCTCTGGAGTAGGGGGGGTAGGAGGGCCCGGGTCGGAAATAGGACGGAACTAAGAACTTGGTAAAAGTCAAGGATTTCTTGTCGTGCACACATGCGATTATGTAGATGTGCGCATGAAGGACTGCATGTCCGAAGGTTGCATGATGCAGCTTCAGAGTCTCTGTGACAGTAGTACTAGTAATCTGTGGTAACGTGCTAGTTAATCGTAGTGGTACTCGTAGTGGTAGTGGTGGTGGTGGTGGTGGTGGTGGTGGTAGTAGTCGTGGCCGTGGTAGAGGTAGAGGCAGAGAAGCAAGACGGAAGGGCCAGGGGGCATGGGTCGTCAATTAAACCCTCCAGTGTTTGTCCGTTTCCTGGCTTGGGGTGTATACTGGGCGTAATCGTCGTCGTAGTAGTAGCAGCAGCAGCAGAAAGGGGTGGGGTGGCGTTGGGTGGTGAAGCTGGAACATATCTCCGATTATGCACGGACGACCCCTAATGGGACAATTTAATATTCCCGACCGCCCTAGATAGACTGGGGTAATGGAATAGCCTTGCTAGATGCTTCGCCTCAGGGAAGCAAGCTGCGGTGTGCGATGCAGGCTCTCGACGCCATTGAGAAGCTTCACTCAGATGCGCAGCTGCGGGCACAGCGGGTCCACGAAAAGCGTCGACTACCCAGCGGCAGGCATCAGGTCCGTTTCGATCGAGACTGCACGTTCTCGCTCTCTAGGCGAGCAGAAGCTGCAGGAAGAGTTGAAGGCCTGTCGCCGTGATCTTTTGATCCGTTGCATAGGACCGTAGGAACCTGCCAAGGAGCTGGAGGCAATGTCGATCCACAGACAGAAGTCCCGGAAAGATCTCGGCGATGCCGCGGGCGCTTTTGGTCACCGACTCTTCGAGGCGAAGTAAGAAGCGAAGAGTTCTTGGCTCTGGCTCGAAGCCGCGGCTGGTGCGCGGTTTCCAGCGCAGGAGTCGAAGCAGAGACAGGAGAGGAAGCAGACGCGAGCTCTCCAGGCCTTGGGACTTGGGGTCGTCGTTTGCGCTAGTTGCCAGTTCTGCCCTCTTTGACGGGAGGCCCACAGCGAGGCTAAAGCGGCAGCACAGCCAGGCCGCGGAGCGAAAGAGCAAATCCCAATTCCCAAAGCTTCGTATCGCATTGAGGTGTGGGCGTGCCCGGCGCGCCGACATCGCCCCGTGGCGTTCTTCACCTCTACGAGGCATCTCGAAGCTGCGCAACTTCCGCCCTTCCCCCAGCTGCGCGGCATTTCCGCATCAAGGACGCAGCCAGAAGAGAAGAATCGCTAACGGAAAGGCGCCTCTCCGTGTCGGCGTTTTTTGTGGGATTTTTTGGGTCCATGACCATTACAGTCTGTTTGCCGATGGGTGAACGAGGCGACGAAAGCTTTGGGAGACTGAGAGCCAGGAGAGCTGTGATACCGGGACCGTTCTATTCGGGGATGGACAGAATGTCGATGGGATTGATTTAGTTCGCCTTGTAGAGTGCGTGCACATCAATGACGTTTAGGGCGTCATGGGCCGCATTTCCTGCTCAAAGAGCGAATGCACAGAGTAGCATGGACGTCTCCCATGTCAGTCTGGCGGTGACTGGCCTTGCAGTTGGTTGGTGGGTCAGCTCCGGACAATCATCTAAATCTGAGCCTTTTACTTGCCAGTGTCATTGTCTGGGAAGTGTCTCGTCGGATCGCAGCGACTCTGGCAATAGCTGGGTTTGGGTGGCGCTCGTTCTGGTGTTGACCTTGCTCTTCACGAACTTGGCCTTAGTCTTCAAGATCACATATCAGAACTCTGAGACTGGTGATCGCGAGCTTTCCGTCTCGCTAAAAGGGCGGCCTGGTAAGGGCATTTTTGGGGCCCCCAAAGGCCTTCAGCTATTAGAACAGTAGGATGAATGCTGGCGACGTGGTTTATGTTCTCTACCATGGCGATCCAGGTGTCTACCATACCAGACTTCTAGCTGCTGATCTCGGCGATGATGAATGGATGATTGTCACTCCAGACCGGCATATATACGCCGAGCTTTATGCTGCGGATAATCCCGACATCCGGCGGTTCTTTCACGCCCCAGACGGGCGGATCCCGGGTCAGATCCCAGTGGCACAAGTGTACTCCTTCGCCCCGATGGATGCTCGTCAATTTGGCGACCTGTTGAGGGCCTGTCGTCAAGAGGCGGAGGCTGAGATGGCTAGGAGGGGCCTCGCCCCGCCTGCGGCGGCACCAGTGGCGGTACAGCCCGCAGCACCCCCTAATGCGGCTCAAGCCCCCCCAGCAGTTCCCGTTCCAGGAGGGCCTACCACTTGGGTCGCTATGGAGGACGTGGGTCCTCATCGACGGGGTGATGTCTTGGCGGTGGATCCAGGGCCTCTCCCAGCAGGTCATATCGTCCTTGGTGATCGAGCCTTGATTCCGGTTGGCAACCTCACCCTGACAGCGATGAAGGTTGCCGCAGATGGGGTGGCGGCAGTGCATTTCGACGATCTCCGGGTGCTGCCTGTTCGGTTCGATGCTCAGGGTCTCCGCCGCAGAGAGTTCAATGCAGCCGTGGCTTTGCTGAGAGACGATACCCCTCAAGGAGGTGGATTGCAACTTCAGGGCCCTGCTTCACTCCTGAATATCTTGAAGATGCTCCGTGATCAGAACTTCACTCCGACTACCTTTCATGAATTTTGGGTGAGGTCTTCAGAGCTTGGGAAAGGTGACCGTTCGGTGTTTGAGCATGAGTGCCTCTCCCGCATCCTAGAGTCTATGATTACGGTGGATCAGATGAATGTTCCTTGTCTTCAATCTGCGGAGCTGCTGTGCCGACGGATGCAGGTGATACGGGAGGCTCATCGGATATCTCCTTCAGCACCGGACTATTCCGCTGCCGATATCTTTATGGGCTGGAAATACAGGCGCTCGGGTCAGGGAGTCGACTTAGGTTTGGCTGCTCATGTCGCGAGCGAGCTAAAAAATGAGGCCGCGATCGCCAAAGAGGCTCGAAAGGCCCGTGAGGAGGCCAATCTGCGCCGCCAGAACCCTCGGAAGCCCGGTAAGGGTGCAGAAGGGGATGGCGGCGGGAAGGGAGGATGAACATGCGCGGCGTGGCGGTGGGGGCCGCCGCCACTCCGGATGATCTACGGGCCCCTTCTTCGCCGGCTTTCCCGTCGGCGTCTTTTTCCAATTCGATCCGGCCTGCTTCCTCGGCTAAGGGTTTTTTCGATTTTGATGGTGTAGACAGGCAAAGAGACCTTTTTCCTATGCCCTCGATTCCGTTGCGGAGTTGTTCGGGATTGTCTTCCAGCATCTCTCAACGGCGTCGTGTTGCGCGATTCAATCAGAAGGCTCGTGCGGCTAATCAGATTCTGGGCTCCCTGAACGAGATGTATGGTCAGGCGGGGTCGGCTTCTTGCATGAGTAGCACTCCCACTGCTGCCCAATATACTGCGCAGACTCAACTGCTTCAGCAAGTGGAGGGTATTTCAAGTCGTATTCCCATGTACAGTGAGCGTGAGGCGGCTCGATCGCTTCTGCATTCTTGCCTCTCCTACTCGGAGGAGGCCAACACAACCGTTCGCCCCTTCAATCCGGACCTCTTATCCCTTCCGAGCACGGGGTCTAGCCCGCCCCCGCTTCAGGAGCTTGTGGATGATTTTGGTCGTGAGATCTTGAAGGACCCCGTGGGGAACATGATGTTAAGTCCAGATGAGTGGGGTGCGAAAGTGGAGAAAGGCTTGGGCATTGCGCCCTACATGGATGTCGTTCTCAAACATGATCCTGGTAAGTACGTCGACTTTGTGCGCACATTGTATCTGGCGGGCATGCTCGCGTTCACCGCGCATCCGAAGGATCTGATGACGCCTTTCTTTGTTGCCAAGAAGAGCGGGAAGCTCAGATTGGTTCTGGACTGTCGAGGTATTAATCAGCGTTTCAAAGAACCTCCTTCCATGATGATGGCCGCAGGCTCTTCATGGTCGCAGCTCGAGCTTCCAGAGGGTCAACATCTGTATATTGCTCAGTCTGACATTACGGATTATTTTTACTCTTTGCGGATGCCCGAAGAGCTCCAGCCCTACTTCTGCCTTCCGTCCATACCCTCTGAGGCCTTGGATGCCTGGATGGTGCATCCGGAGCTTCGCCCTGCAGCGGATCGCGAAGGCATGGTGTTCCCTTGTTTCCGCGTTGTTCCGATGGGCTGGAGCTGGGCAATGTATTGGGCTCAACGAGTCCATCAACTGCAAGCCTTACTTGGGTCCGGTTTGACAGCCGAGAGGCTTCTGGTTGCCGAGCGTCCAGCTCCACCCATCGATGACGGCCAACCCCTCATGATTGCATACGCGGACAACCTTAACGTTGCAGGGACATGCCCCGTCAAAGTCCAGGAGGCTAAAGACAATGCTGCCGCGCATCTTAGGTCGTTGGGATTTGGTGTTCACGAAGAGCTGGACGCATGCACTCAGGCATCCTCCTTAGGCTTCTTCGTCGATGGAGTTAAAGGGGTCGTCACGCCCAAACCCGACAAGGTCGGGAAAGTGGTGGCAGCGTTCAGATGGCTGAGCCGGAGGCCGAGAGTCCCCGGCAAAGCGGTCGAGAAACTCATCGGCCATGCAGTGCACTTCATGATGCTACGTCGTGAACTTCTTGCATGTTTACGCAGCCTTTATGATTTCGTGCACAGCCACTATAATCATCGTGTCAGGTTATGGACTTCAGCCGCCCGTGAAGCCGCTTGGGTGAGTAGCCTGCTCACGGTGTGTCATGCTGACCTCCGGAGGGGGTGGTCCGACCAAATCACTGCGTCTGATGCTTCTGTATCTGGGATTGCTGTATGCGTCAGGGGTTCCACTGCCCGGGAGGTCTCGGACATAGGCCATCGTAAAGAGAGCTGGAGATTCCGAAGCAGAGACTTTGTGGCACCTCGAAAAAAGGCCCTTGGTTCGGAAACGCTTGATCCTTTCATTGATGTGGATACAGTGTTACCCGTCGCCGTGCTGGACGAGGATCCTTTCTCGGTCAATCCCGGCTTCAATGAAGTTCCCACTGAGATTATGGAACCAAACATGTGGGCTTGTGCTTTTGCAGCTCGCATGACCCTTCCTGAGCCCATCACGGTACTTGAAGCTAGGGGAACCGTTGCTGCAATCAGACACACCTGCCGGAATACCAGGAACTTTGGAAAGCGACACGTGCACATCAATGATAACCTGGCCAATGTTCTTTGCTTTGAAAAGGGACGTTCAGCTTCTTTTGCAATGCTTCGTGCTTGCCGCCGGGCCTGCGCATTGCTCGTCGCCTGCAACATCGCTGTGCACCACCGCTGGGTCCCTAGTGAACTGAACCCCGCTGATCATGCTTCGAGGCGCTGGGAGTCAGCACGGAAGCGGCAAGCATCGAGGCACTGCGGCTCTCTCATCGTTCCACAACCTGGCGAACAAGGAGCTCTCATCTGATGAAGCCCCGTTCAGCCATCAGGCGTTCACTCCAGGCAGAGACCAAGGAAGGGAAGGCGCAGAAGAGACAAAAACTCATGCAGAATACACTTGCTCCCAGATTTGGGGGCCAAACCTTCCTGGAGCAGGTGGCAGTTTCAGCCCCTGTGGGGCACGACTATTCGATCCGGCTGAATCGTTTCGTGGCGGAGATGAGGATACCCAACATTCGGACTCTCACCGACGCGAAGTTGGACGAGTACTTAAGCATCTATCTCAACAACATGTTCAAGGACGGGTGCGACGTCTCCGACGGAAACAAGACGCTTGCATCCGTTCTGGACGCCAGGCCCGGCTCTTCAGTGACTTCAGCCCTACCACGATCCAGGCGATGCTTAAAAGGCTGGGCCAACATGGACCCGGGGAAAACTCGGCCGCCAATCCCGTTCCCCGTGATCGCTTTGATTGTTTTGTACCTCATGAGGCAGTCCCTGGGGGAAGCAGCGCTGCTGATCCTGCTGATGTTCAGTGCGTACCTCCGTCCGGGGGAAGCCCTCGCATTGCAGATCCCGGATGTGGTGAAGCCGTCTCGCACGGTTCCCCATTACGGCATTAACCTGCATCCGGCGGACCGGTATGAGAGCAGCAAGGTGGGACTCTCTGATGAATCCATCCTGTTAGACTCTCCGGTCCTACCGCTTCTGGGCCTTATGCTATCGCGGCTGATTGGCAAACGAAGCGAGGGACTGATTTTCGAAATTGGTTACCCGGTCCTTCTTCAGCAGTAGCAGCGTGCTCTGGTGCAAGTGGGTTTGCCATCAAACCATGCGGTGCTTTACCAACTTCGGCATTCGGGTCCCAGTCATGACCGCTTACACGGTCTCCGCTCGCTCTTAGAGACTAAACTAAGAGGGCGTTGGGCTTCGGACTCGAGCCTCAAACGTTACGAGGCCCACAGCAAGCTGTCTCTCGAGTTTCAAAACCTTCCTCAGCAGATCCAATCAGCCGCCCTCCGAGCGGAAAAGCTTCTGGGACCAGCGATGGCGAAGTTTGCATTCTCCAAGTGAATGATCGTGAATTGCCGCCCACGGCGTTTGAACCCGCCCTCCCACTCCGGCAGTGCGCTACTCGTAGCTGGATAGGGGAGGTGGAGTTTTTCGCTGGGCTTTCTTTTCAGTTCCACGCTTGGCCATAGCTGGCCCGGATGTGTAATCTCAGCATGCAGCTCTGTCAGAGCACCTTGAAAAAAGCGAGCTGCTTGCATCTTCGTTCTGGCCCTGTGAGCCCTTGTCATGTAGAGTGCGTGCACATTAATGACGTTTAGGGCGTCATGGGCCGCATTTCCTGCTCAAAGAGCGAATGCACAGACCTCCACCCACCCCGGCCACCTTTCGCTGGGCTTTCTTTTCAGTTCCACACTTGGCCATAGCTGGCCCGGATGTGTAATCTCAGCATGCAGCTCTGTCAGAGCACCTTGAAAAAAGCGAGCTGCTTGCATCTTCGTTCTGGCCCTGTGAGCCCTTGTCATTGTTCTGCTGTTGCCCAAGGAAGCTTCATTGACTCTGCAGTGTAGCTGATGTCCCAAAGTGGGGCAGCCGCCGCAGGATGTCGTATCTGATTTTGCTCGGATATCATGGAAGGCTTTTGGAGGCTTTGGGTGGGTGTACTCTTTGCTCGTACTGCTCGCTCCGAGCCTCCACTGGTGGAGCCTGGTTTGGTGACACCAACACTCTGGGGAAAGCATCCCGACGAATTCATGGCTCGAGGAGTTCTGGTTTGCAACGTAATTGGTCACTGGACTGTGCACTCAGACATTTTTGACTTGGAGCAGAATGCTGTGGAAACCGAAGAGTGGTAATCACAGGTGATTTCCGACAGCTTTGCCAAACAGTTCGAAAGTATGAACCCGCCTCTTGGATGCGTGAGCACGCACACAGTCGGCTTAGGTTCGGAAGCCACGCGGCCTTGCACTGCCAGGCTGACTCTGTGGTCTCTGTGGTGTCTCACATCCGTAGCGGCCGCCTGATTCATCGATTGTTTGACGTTCTGTATAGGCTTCCGCCAGCATTTTTCCGTTCGAGTGGAGCTTTCGTGGTATCAACATC